GCCTCCGTGCTCTCTGCTGTAGTTCGTCTTGAGCTTTTGCCTTGGCTTCTCTCTATGTAATAATCCCTTTCCTTCCTCAGTTTGATTTTGGTCAGTGTTTTATCATAGCAACAGAAAGCTAATTAGAACAGCATATTAGTATAGAGAAGAATGGTAGCTTAATGAAAGTATGAAAATCATGAAATATAAATCTGTGATAAACATGAGGTGCCTTTGGCTCTTGGTCTGATAGAAAAAGGTATTGAAGGGATTTAGTAATGATGTCCAAATATATAAAGAGTAAGCATGTAGAAGTACTAGATCTGTTTTGCATAACTTCAGAGATTAGAACTAGTCTTATAGAATTTTGAGAGATAAAGATTAAGAAAAATTTCTGATAACCAGAGCCCTCTAGAAATAGGAATAGCTGTCACTGGAAACCTTGGGAGCTAATTTTTTCCCTGTTAAATTTTCTAATAAAGAACTTGTATGATTATATAGTGTTATTAGACATTTTCTTCTGTAAGATTGGAATTGGATTAAATGTTCCTTTCAAAAACACAACATTTTATTTGGCTACTAACCCACTTATAATATTGGTTTTCAATTGTTAGCCCCAATAATTTTTATCTCAGATTCCTTGTAATGTCTCCTTACTATGTAAGGTAAGACTTATAATGAACATAATCTGCCTCACAAGTAAATGTTCAAGAAAAGTGAATATTACCTGAAAGTAATTTAAAACTCCACAAACATTGGATCTCTGAAATCGAAGAAAACTAAAACACTTTCCTAAGTTAGGCACAGACTTATTAGTTATCACAACTTGGTCTTAATTGAAATGATCTGGTTATAAATCTTACTCAGTTGATAAATTCTTAGGTATTACTAGAAAAATATTAGTGTGTTTTATTATAGACTGCATTGTTGTTCAGTATGCTTTGAAATTTTTACTAATGTTATTTGAGAATTTCATGTAATATATTTTGATCATGTTCATCCTCCTCCCTCACCTCCTCCCTCTAGCATGAATCTAATTGGTCTAAATAAAAACCTGGCACCAGCGATGGGATAAATGCTAGAAGATCAGAGAGACAAAGGAACAAGCCACAGCCACCTCTCACCTCACCAACTCCTCAGCCAGAAAGGAAGCTCCTGTCTCCTCTCCTCCCGCCTTATATTCCTTTCTCTGCCAGCCATATCACTTCCTGTCTCCACCTCCCTAGTGCTGGGATTAAAGGTGTGAGATCCCGAGTGCTGGGATCAAATGTGTGTGCCACCACTGCCTCTTTTAGACTGGATCAGTCTTGTGTAGCCCAGGGTGGCCTTGAACTCACAGAGTCTGCCTCTTGATTGCAGGGATTAAAGGTGTGTGTCAAAACTGCCTGGCCTCTATGGTTAGGTTAACTAGTGGCTTAGCTCCCCACTCTGATCTTCAGGCAAGCCTTATTTGTTAGATCACAAACAAAATATCATCATACCTCCCAGACCCACCCCACCCCACCGGACCTCCCAGACCCCCTCCCAAACCTCTCACCCCCTCCCGTCTTAAACCCATCCAGCTTGTGTTGGGTATGGGGCTTGCTCTGGAATGTTATTGATGCATCAGGGTCACACTATTAAAGAAAACGGGCTTGCTTTCTCCCAGGAGCAACCAAATGCCAATAGTTTCTTAGCTAGGAATAGACTTCATGCTCACCTTCCCTATTCCACTATGGGATTTAGTCTGGCTTGAGTTTGTGCAGGTCTTGTGCATGAGTTGAAATTGTTGTGAGTTCATATGTGCAACTGTCCTGTTGTGCCCAGAAAACACTGTTTCGTTGAAGCTATCCACCACCTCTGGCTCTTACAGTCTTTTACCCCTGCTGTTGAAAAGGTCCCTGACCCTTAAGGGGAGAGGTGTGATATATAATTGTCCCATTTAGGGCAGAGCGAGCACTTTGATGTTTCTTGTTTTCTACACTTGGATCAGCTATGTACTGCAAGAAGATGCTTCTCTGTGAGGGTTTAGAAATGTACAGATCTATGGGTATAGCAATAAGTCATTAGAAGTCATTTTAATGCTATATCCATTTAGCAGAATAATAGAATCTCCCCTTGGGCCTGTGACCTATCTAGCTGCAGGTTCTTGGCCTCATTGATAGTGCTAGGTATGAGTTCCATCTCGTGGCGTGGGCCATCAGTCCAATCAGAAAAGTGCTTGGTTACTCCCATAGCATTTTTGTCAGTATTGTGCTAGTAGGTGTATCTTGCTGGACGGGCCATTATCATAGCCTACAGGATTCACAGCTGGATAAGACTGATGATTATTTTTCTCCTCTTGTAATATGCATAACATCTTCCAGCACTGTGAAAGCTAGCCATTAGGGATGAAGCTTTCAGTTTAGTACCAGCTAGATTTCTTCATGTTCTGTGACTTGGGTGTGTGGTGTCTTTAGCAGAAGAATCTTATCAGGTTCTGATCAGGATAACCTATATCAATAGCTTTTACATTTTTAAAAATTTTGAATAATCTGGTCTGAAGTGTTTGGCCCAAAATATTGTGGTTGTTTAACAGCATTCCAATATGAATACTAACTTTAGAGTATACAATAAAGTATAAGAAGGTTATACTTCTAACAAGTATGTTTGAGATTCAAAGCAGATATCAAGCCATTCTGTTAAGGAAATTAAGGAAGCTGAAAGAAGACCATGCCACATATGTGATAAAGGAGTGGTGTGCCTAACAAGTTATAAGCTAATAAGAAGAGAAATGGAGGAATAGGATATTCTTATTGTCTTAGTTAGGGTTAGTGCTGTGATGAAGCACTGTGACCAAAAGCAATTTGGGGAGGAAAGGGTTTATTTGGCTTATATATCCCAAGTCATGGGTTCTTCCATTAAGAAAAGTCAAGGCAGGAACCCGAGCCTGGCAGGTACTTGGAGGCAGGGGATGATGCAAAGGCCATGGAGAACTCTGCTTTCTGGCTTCCTTCTCACGGCTTGCTCAGCCTGCTTTCTTGCAGAACCCAGGACAACCAGCCCAGGGGTAGCCCCACACACAAGAGGCTGGGCCCTCCCGCATAATCATTAGTTAACACCCTACAGGCCTATCTACAGCTGGATCTTAAGGGTCATACTCTAATTGAGGTTCCCTCCTCTCAGATGACTCTTGCTTGTGTCAAGTTGACATAAAGCCAGCCAGCACACTTGTAAATAAGCTAAAGCCTCAGTGTTATCAAGATAATTTCCTGTATTATGATGTTTTAAGTAGAATGGTTACTATATATTAGGAAAAGACATAATCTTCTAACTTGAAATTCTACCACATGTTGAAGCCTGAGTACAGACTGTATGACATGTAATGGAAGTTCTGTGTGATCTCTGGGCAGAGTCGGAGTTGCACTGAAAAACATGGGCAACTCAAGATTAGACAGTTCTAAACCTATAAATATGAACTGCTGTATAACTGGTGAAATCTATTGATTATTGTATTTCCAGTTCATAATGTGATCTAAATAACATGACATACAGGATTACAGATTATCCTTGTGTGTTTTGCTACTCTGTAATCCTTGTTATTTACATTAGTAGCTGGGTTTTGTGTGGCACCTTAGAAAGTTGGTTGTTGTATTCAGTACTTTGGAGGTAATTTCTTGTTAAAAAGTACTTTCAGTATGGGTGTATGCTGTGTATTCTGGGGGTTTAAATCACAGACCATTTAGAAGTTGCCTTGGACATAGGTCCGTTCTTCCTGGTGTTCCAGAGCCTGCACTTTATGCTACAGAACTGTCTTCCTTTTGCCATCTTACGAACACCATTTCTTTATTTCTCGGTCTTTGGTAAATTTCCCCTGATAGAAGTCTGAGCTACTTCTTACATTTATCATATTGCATATTCTTATATAGTCCTCTGTCAGCCTGTGTTGTCTGGCAAGCAAACATATAATGTGATTTTGGAATTAATGTTTGTAAGTTATACCTAAATGTATAAAATGTAGAGGGATTCTTTTTTTTTTTTTTTTTTTTTTTTTTTTTTTTTTTTTGGTTTTTCGAGACAGGGTTTCTCTGTGTAGCTTTGCGCCTTTCCTGGAACTCACTTGGTAGTCCAGGCTGGCCTCGAACTCACAGAGATCTGCCTGGCTCTGCCTCCCGAGTGCTGGGATTAAAGAGGGATTCTTTAAAAAGAAAACTTTAAAGAAAAATAATTTGTGTTTCAGGCAACTAAGTTTTATGACTAGAAGTACTCGGAAGTTAAGGAATTAATCTAACTGACAGTCGTAGTGTTTAGATGATTACATAAAAGTGATAAGTCACTGTGAGGGGCTTTGGTCATTTTCTCACTCCGTAATAAAATGTGGTTTGGAATCTTATAAAACAAGGTATTCAGTTGAATTATTGAATTACTTTATAAATTGAAATACTGTTTTCCAGTTTGGAGTGTAGGTTACTATTAAGCTGAATATACAAACCCTAGTATTTTATAGTATTTTAGCTATAGTATTAAGAGTTAGTACGTTAGTTGTGTTTAAATATCATTTGCTTTAACCCCAAATAGGGTTTGTAAAAAGTCTTTTTCAAAGCTTTATAAAATTATTACAATGAATTTGAGCTCATCCTTTGGTATATAGGGAAGTAGCTGTGATTTAGGGCATCCATTTTAGATGGTTGAGTCTGCTCACTGGTTTAATCTTTGAAAGTTGGATTTTATATGTGGTCACTTTGCATCTTTCCATTGTACTTTTGCCATTTTAAACTGGTTTTTACCCAGTGGATTTTCACATAGTAGCTTAGTATGGAGTAGAACATCAAAGTATTGGGTTTCCTTGCATTTTTAAAATGTGTGAGCTCCTTCTTACATTTATCATATTGCTGTTCTTTAGTAAAATCAATTCTCTTCATGGGGCTTCATGTAAATGACATTTACAGATCATCCCCCAGAAGCAAAGCTGAGTGAAATGGAAATGCTGTGCACTCAATAATGGCCTCATAATGTCTTAAACAGATGGTAACTTGAATTTTGTGTATATATGTCCTTTTTAGAAAGAATCTTCAAGAGGGAGACATAGAGACAAGGAAGACATAAAAATTGTTAAGGAGAGAACTCCAGAAAGCGAAGAAGAAAATGTAGAATGGGAGACTAACAGAGATGGTGAGTTTGAAAATCTTTGCTTTGCTTGTAGAATCTTGATCATTCACTGGCCTAGTGCGGGTTTTGAGAGAGCTTTCAACTGTCACCTTCACATTGCTTCAGAATTATCATATTGATTAGAACTGAGTTCTCAGGCAGAAACAGGTATATAGTAGCAGTTCAGGGCGAAAGGAGGTTTATATTACCTATTTCAACTTGCTCATTCTTTATCCCCCACTTCCAGAACTTTATTATATCCTTTGGGATTTCTTCCATTTATAAACTTTCAAGTTCCGCAATACTAAGTTTTAAAAATTTAAATCTAATCTAAATTTTTACAGAAAATAATTTAAATGAGATGGTTAAAGTTATATTCAAGAAATTGTTGGCTTTAAGTTTTCAGAAGAAACTGAAGTTACATAATAATTGAATCTTGATATTTATTTATGAAAATGTAAAAAACTATTTTTGACTCATTGTCTTGCCAGTTAAGCACCAAAAAAATCTCTGTTCTCTACCTCTTTGATGTTCTGGTGAGTGAGCACTCTAACCAAGGAATCAGTATTTTTGAATGAATTTTAATATGACATATCTTTACTGAAGAGTTTTAGCTTTAAGAACTTCAGTACCTTTTCAGTGTGTGCTGAAAACAGACAGTGCGAGGCACTACAATATGTGGACACAGACTGTTGTCTGTGACTGCAGATAAGTTTGCAACAGAGCATAGCCCTGCCTGTCTGGTTACATACTGTTTATGAGTTACAATGACTGAGTGCAGTCTTGTGACAAGGACCTAGAGCTCACAAGACTAAAGTACTTGTGACTGTATTTTAGAGTGTTATCCGAGGATGCAGCAAGACTAAGATGGAAAAGTACTTATTGAGGAAATTACCAATGCTGTCTATGAAAATGTTGTTTCTAAGAACATGTAGGGATTTTGTTTATGATTTTCATTGAGATTTTATAATATCTCTTCTATAAAAATAACAGTAAAAGTACAATATTCTGTTGCAGTTGACAAATTATTTAATATATTGAAGGATTTATTGCTCTTTCATTCTGTGTAAGAGGCCTTTCTGTTACTATATAAAATCAATATATTACATTGAATTTGAAACCGGATTTCCTTCTTTCTCATCAATTTAGTGCAGTTATTATATGTTCTTTTTCTATACCTTTGGTTTTCTTATGTGTAGATTCCTTGTACATACAAGTGTGGGAGGGTGTTGAATGAGAATGACCCATAGGTTCATCTATTTGAATGCTTGGTCCCCAGTTGGTGGAACTATTTGGGAAAGTATGGCCTGTTGGAGGAGGAGTGTCACTGGGAGTGGGCCTTGAGATTTCAAAAGCCCAAGGCCATTCTCAATTAGCTTTCTCTGCCTCCAGCTTGTGGATCAGAATGTGAGCTCTCAGCTGCTGTTCCAGCACCATGCCTACCTGCTGCCATGTTCCCTCTCCCATGATGGTTGTGGGTTTTTTTTCCTTCTTGTTTCCTAATTCTTCCCTTATTTGTTCATCATGTAGAACAACATAAAAAAAATAATAATAAACATATCATTATAGGAGAGGAAAATACATGAAAGTACTTTGATAATCTTGGAGGCAGATTCATTATCCTAAAATAAACTATAAAACCCCAAAGCCACAGAAGATTTGAATATATGAAAATTAAAAGTGGGTTTATAACTAAATGAAGGAATTAAAAGTAGATATTACACCAGAAGAAATATTTGACATATGTAAGCATTAATAAAAGATACCATATAAACATATAATGAACTGTCACAGATATTAAAGAAGACAGTCCAGCTTTAAAAACTGATGGAATTTTAAATAGATAATGCTTAAGAACTAGAAATGGCTAATAAGTGTTCAGATTTACTGCAGGGAAAGGTTCATAAAAGCAAAGATAGAATTGTCTACTCATTAGTTTCACAAAAATGAAAATACTAATGTTTTTAAGTAGTAGTTTCCATTGGTAAAGTTGTTTGTGAGTCCAGTTTGGCCATGGTAAAAACAGGAATTATATGTTGATTCTAGCAAACCTAGTTTGAGAAATTTCATAGAGAAATATTTGCACTCCTGAGTCAAGGCAGTTACCATTTCAGCCTTGTGTATAGCAACAAGACATGGCATCCCTCAGGAGGAGACTGGCCCCGAAGCTGTGGTGTACTTAGCTTATGAAATGCTTTGCAGATACTAAAGTGAAGATAGTTGAGCTGTGTGTGTGTGTGTGACATGGAGAGACCTTGTGTATATATATGGCAGTGTTTGTAGTTCTGTTGGGGGTTTTGTTCTTTCCCTGGTTTTGATACAGGATCTCCTTGTGTGGTTCAGCCTGGCCTCAAACTCATAACCCTGCTGCCTCAGCCTTCCCAGTGCTGGATTGACAGATGTGAGCCAGTGTCCCTGGCAGTTCTGTTGTTGTAGTGGGAATTTTGTGCATGCAACACTAAGCTGTCGGCGATGTTGACACTATGAGGTGGCCACTGAGGGCTCTAAAGGGGATTTCTATTTCTCTTTGTCCTCGGATTTGTTTAAGACTTTAAGTGAGAGTGTGTCATAAAAACAAAGGGAAATCTCAAATATTTAGTCTTTAGTCCTTTTTATAGTTTTTAAGACCTATTTTGAGATAATAAATAGAAACAGTCTTGATATATTAAAGAGTATGAATATTCTTAAGACTTGTACCCATACTAGTAAATCATTTTATAGGCTAGATGTACTACCATCTGTCACTAGACCCTTCCTTGCGCCTTACCAAACTGTAATTAAAAATGCTCCACAACACACGTAGAAGGCTTATTTATATGTCTTTTTGTTTGTGTGAATTGCTTTGTCTATGTCCTTAGAATCTTCTTTTCTATTAATAAGAATCTATTGGCCGGGAGGTGGTGGCACACGCCTTTAATCCCAGCACTTGGGAGGCAGAAGCAGACAGATCTCTGTGAGTTTGAGGCCAGCCCCACCTACAGAGTGAGTGCCAGTACTGTTATATAAAGAAACCTTGTCTCAGAGAAAAAAAAAAAAAGAAGAAAGAAAAAAGAAAGGAAATCTATTTAAATAATGTCAACCTTTCTTTTTACGTTGGCATCTTTTTTATTACATAGTTTAACTTTTTTTCTGTGTTAAATATACTGTTATCATATGTAATATTTTTCCAGTGACTTAGTATCATACTCCATACATAGGATGTGTAATCAGTCACTCAGATAATGAACATACAGTTATCAGCCCCACACCAGGCTAGGATGGACAGTTGGTGTTGTAATGCATTTGAACTATGTGCAGCAATGATACCTATTTTCCTGTGTTTAAAGTAATCAAGTGGGACTATGTTTAGTGATTTTTTTTAATTCCATTTTATTTATTTACCTCTGTGTGACAAATAGTCTAAAATGCTAAGGGTGTACAGGAAGCACACTGGCTTGTGGTCAAGGCAAGTGTGGTCAAGGATTAGGGTGGAAGTCAGTGGATTCCATCCTCCAGGTTTCTTGGGTAAAGGATTGAGTGCCGTAACACTGAGAACAACTATATACTGCAATAGAGATCTTTATAATAGACCCCTTCTCGCCTTTCCTTCTCTCTTGAAAAACAACAAACAAGCAGAAGTTTTCATCAGAAAAGACTGGACATGAAAGATGACATCAGATCCATTGAATGAATGGTTGCTTCTAATATAAAGAGATAATTTAAGTCAATTGAAATGAAAATGCTAGACCTCCTTAAAAATTAGCACACAGGGACCAGGCCAGGCATGACAGCAAACGCCTTGCTGATCTGAGTTCAAGGCCAGCCTGGTATACAAAGCAAGTTCCAAGACAGACAGGGCCCTTACACAGAGAAACCCTGTTTCAAAAAACAAACAAACAAACAAAATTAGCACACATTAGTGTTAAAGTTAGTTAACTTTCCTTTTAGATACAAATCAGTTGTCTCACAATAAAAAAGATAGAATTGGAGAACTAATGTTCGAAACACCTGGCTTAACCTTACCTTAGTAAAGGGTCTAAAGCAAGGACAGAGCTCTTCTTACCCTGTATGAAGGATTGAAGGCCTCAGTGTCCCCAGTGGGTGGCTGAGTACTTTAATTGTGACTTTGGGCTTGCTGTCATCCATGGTCTTCAGTGCTAGGGCTCAGAGTCATGGCCATAAGCAGTGCAAATACTCCACCACTGCTACATTCTAGCTTGAATTTTAGCTGTTCAAAATCTCTTGTGACAAAAACCCAAGCATCTGATAACTGTAGGTCACTTTTAGAAATATAGAAACCTTAATATTGGATTTTCAGAAGGAATTAAGTTTTTCATAGAAATACTATTCTAATGAAAGAATGTACTGTTAAAAGTTGTGTAAAAATTAGCTGAAAAGCCTTAATTCTCTGTCCATAATTATAATAGTGTCTAACAAATAATGGAATTTGTATTTTTAAGATTCTGACAATGGAGATATTAATTATGATTATGTTCATGAGTTGTCATTGGAAATGAAGCGTCAGAAAATACAGAGAGAATTAATGAAGTTGGAACAAGAAAACATGGATAAGAGGGAAGAAATTATCATTCAAAAGGAGGTATGTGTATTGAAGTGAATGTGTTGTTAACATAGATGTGCATATTGATCACAGAAATCAGCTCCATGCTGTAGCTTACCTCGTACTAACACAGTGATAAACTGTTCAGCTCCCCACATAGCAGTTACACCATAAAAGAGTAATCATTCAATCTTTACATGACTTGTTAAGTTCAAAATGCTTTTGCTGTTGAACCAAACTGACACTCCATTGCCTGTACCTGTCAGCCTGATACAAAATGAGTTCTACACATCAGGCCCATGCTGTTTCTAGATTGCCCTGTCCACTTTTCTAAGGTATGGAAATTCATTTGGAAATAATTTCTGATTTTCCTGAGGAAATTTTGAAAAATTTTAACTTTAAACTAGTTTTTAATTTTTTTACTCAGGTTTTTTGATTTTTTTGTTCCCCCGACTATTTTAAGATATTTGATATTTATTTATTTGTCTGTCTATCTATCTATTTATTTATTTATTTATTTTTGGTTCCGTGAGTTTCTGAATTAACTTAAATTATTTTGACAGGTTTCCCCAGAAGTGGTTAGATCAAAATTGTCCCCATCACCTTCTCTGAGAAAGTCTAGTAAATCACCAAAGCGGAAGTCAAGCCCCAAGGCATCTTCAACTAGCAAGAAAGAGCGGAAGGCTGCAGTGGTGGCTTCTCCACTGTTGGACCACCAGAGGTCAGTAGGGTGATTTCAGTGCCAGAGAGCAGGATATTTCAGCAGGGTTGCTAGCAGAACTACTTAACTATAGAAGGGGATTCTGAAACACAATGAAACAAATATCTATATCACATTCACACACTAGAGCTTTCTAACTCTGGGATTTTGTGTATGTAGTGTGTATGCCTCTTTTTTTTATACTTTAGCCAATATGTATCGTTTTGCAAAGTAAGTAATGTTTTTATATATTGAATTGGAACACAAATGTTTACTACAACTTTCTTTGTTCAGGTTGCCTTTTTTCTTAACATTTTCTAGCTTTTAATATTTATACTTCATATTTATCTTTCTGTTGTCCAACGTTTTTTATTTCATTTTTAAAGCATTATCAATTATGAACAGGGAGTGTTCTACTTATTTTTTTGTTTACATGTCAAGAGATTAGTTGTTTTAAAGTATGCACTCAGCAATATGTACATTTGATTGTGTATTTACTATAGCAGTCAGCTAAAGAAATAAAAATAGGTGTAATGAAATATAATTACATTAAGGACTAAGAACAAGACAGGAGACATTTAAATATCCCTCTACTATATAACTTTGAATTAAGGTACATACACTAATTTCTTTTTTTTTTTTTAACTAAAAACATGCTCTAATACTATTTGGCAAATCCTGTTTAGCTGAACCCACAATAAAGCTCACGTTATCTCCTGCTTTTAGATCATAACTCAGACTTCAGTTACTTTATTTGCCTACATAATGTGATGCCCACCTCTGAACAAAGCATACAGATTTTCACTTGAATACCTCAGACAATCTGCTTTGTAGATGCTGTAAGAGAAATCTTAAAAGAACAATTCCAGTTAAATTTTATGCTGTTGAAAAGCTGATTTTCTCTTCTCCAAATGAAACTCAAATTCCTTAAGAATGACATTTATGCTTTGACCTTTTCTGTCTTGTCGATGTTTTTATTTAATTTAATTCTGTCCTGTCTGCCTAGTTCTCAATACTCAGTCCTGCAGGCTTTAGCTTAAATTCTAAATTTTCTGTTAGGTTTCCCCTTTTTTTTCTTACTCTACATAATTTTTCCCCTATCAGAATTTGTGTAGATTCTTTTTCGTCTTAATTGCTGTTTGCATTATATTTCAGCTATGGCATGTGTGTTTTACAGCCCTTATTAGATTTAAGCTTCTTGAAAATTGGGCCTTGATGGTTCATTGTTCTGTCTTCCCACAGCTCCTCCTTTGCCTGGAGCTTTTGCTTTGTAGCAGACGCTCTTGGGACCCTCTTTGTTCCTAGGATTGAGTGATACTGTGAAGGGTATGAAAGAGGCCGACCTTTAGAATGGTGTGAGCTATCCTGACTTGCTCTTCTTCCTCTTGACTGTTAGTTATACAACTTACACTCAGGTCATCCATTTGTCCAACAAATTGTATCACCCAAGCAGCCTTTCCTTTTCTTACCTGTTTATGCATTCTTTGAAGTTTATTCTTCTCATAGAAATTTTTAATAACTATTTAGATATAAAGGGTTAATTTTATCCAGTTTTTCATATAATCTTTTACTATTTGTTATTAGTGCCCTTTGATTTATTGATTTGAATTTCATCATATTGATTTAAGTACTATATTTCCTATATTCCAATATGTTAGTGCCCTTAAGATGTACCTTTAAAATATAGAGCAGAAGGTTCTGTAAAACAGTACATTTTAAAAGTACAAGGAAAACACTAAATTAAGTATAGATTTTTTTTTTTTTTTTAATTGAGACAGTCTTATGTAGCTCAGGCTCATCTCTGAAGCTTCCTTGAACTGGTGTCAGGTCTTACCCCTACCCCCCAAGTGCTGGGATCAAGTGGATGTGTACCAACAACACCCTACACAAGTACAGTGTTTATTTTTAGTATTTCTTACTATTGTGTATGGGAGAGTAGGCATGCTCATACCACAGCACGCCAAGCACAAGGTGGTCAGAGGACAGCTTTTGACCTCTGGTAGTCATTTGTCTCCTTCCATCACGTGGGTCCCTGAGATCAAACTCAGTTCATCGGGCTTCTGCAGCAGGTACTTTGCCCTTCTGATTACCTTGTCAGCCTTTGTGCCCTTGAATCTGTCAGATGGTCAGGGTGTGTGTGTGTGTGTGTGTGTGTGTGTGTGTGTGTGTGTGTGTGTGTGTGAGAATTAATGGGGGGCCTTGGATGTGCTACATAATCATTGTATCACTGAGCTACGTCTGTGACATGCAGGTAACCTACTTTTAATTTCATTGCCTGGTCATACTATAAACTGTTGGAGGACATATTAAACTCAGGGATTGGACTTCCTGTTAAGATTGAATAAGCTATTTCAAGCAATGCTAGTGAATCAACTGAATGACAGAAGGACTCATTGGTCCTTTTAGGTTAGAATAATGGACAGATATAATTACTGGTAAATGAAGTCATGCTTTACTCTGAAAACTGACTTCTTTCTCTGATACTCACTCTAGTCTAGTATGATAATATCTGGAGATGTGCATTACAGTGTGATTTAGAATCAAATGCATTCTCTGTTTGACCATTTGCTTTTTTAACCTAGGCCAAGTTTTCTGTATAGATACTTTCATAAAGAGAAGTAGGAAATGTGTTTAAAGTTGTTCAAAATAGTTACAGAGTAATGTAAAAATGATAAAAGTGGACAGTGGGCTCTCTGCCACGGGTAGGAAGTAATTGATTTAGTGTTGTTAAAAGAATAACCAGTAGACTTTAAAATGGTGCAAGATCTTGCTGAGCTCAGTCTCTTCATTTGGAAAATAATTCAGTAAAGTAGAATTTTGTTTTCCAACCCTGTGTTTTTAAAGGTGATATGAAGAAATTCCAAATTTATTACTTTTTAAGTTTGAGAATTCCAACTTCTCATATGTCCTCTCACCCTCTTTCAAAATCATGGCCTCTTCTGTAGTTATTTTATACATACATACACCCCTCACACATACACACATTGATGTTGCCCTTATTTTATTAAGGGCATATAATAATTATTATTATTTTATTATTATTCTTTAAGACGTCTCTGGTAATATTAATAGCTAAATCCTAAGATGTTGTTAGTGATTTAACACAGCAGCAGTTTCTCAGGCATATGGAATCAAAATGGATGTTTCTGTGCTGGAGAAATGGCTCAGCCACTGGAGTGCCGGCCTGCAACATTGAAGACTTGAGTTTGACCTCCAGAACCCACGTAAACAGACAGGCATAGTGGTGTGCACTTGTAGTCTCTGACTGTGGAGACAGAAATCGGAAGGATCCCTGGAGCTAGCTGGACAACCAGTGAGCTACAGGCAAATGAGGGACCCGTCGCATGAGGTGGGCAGCCTTCACAGGGGTAACACATGAGGTTGAGAGCTCTAGCCTCTACACATGGGGGCACTATGCACCCACTGACCACGTTGATGTATAAGAGAAATAACTGGATATTGTACTTATTTAGCTCTGTGGTATACAGTAGCCTGGTATATGGAAATCCTTGAAGAGAACGGTACTGTAGAGAGTGTGGTTCAGTGCTGGGCCAGGAGGAAGAATGGTGAACATCTAGCTTGTCTCTATTATGTGGAGTAATGTGGAAATAAATTTTTGTGAAGAACTCCTCCATATATTAACCTTTTAAATCTTAGCATGAATGACAAGTATTGTCTAGTTTCTCCTTAAAGTGGGAAAAAGTTAGAAATTGAGACATTTATTACCATATTGTACATAAAGAGTTTCTATAATCTCATAAATAATGTATTGAGGTTTGTGGCTATTATGGTTATTGGTAGAAGATAAGGATGCAAAGATTCCGTCATCAGATTTTAAGAATCTCTTTCTTATGTAAGTGGCTATTCCTGTCTACATTAATAACAGAGGGATATGGACAAAGAGAGCTCAATTTTCTGAAAGCTAACCATGAGTCAAATGCTTTTATGCTTTTAATCTTTTAAAAATCTTACCAGCAATTCTGAGAACTGTACTATCCATTATAATAATATAGTCAATGAATCTTGGGACTGCAGGGAACTCAAGGTCACATGAAATAAGCTCCAGTGAAACCTCACTAGAAGTATGAAGACAAGGGGCTCCTTAAAGTCCTAAGACAATGGACACTAAGAGCAGATGGCGTATTCAAAAGTGTCCACACAGAAAACAGGAATAAATTTAGATACATTCATAAGAATATTGCAATGCTGGGTGGTTTTTTGTTTGTTTGTTTTTGGTTTTTTTTGTTTTGTTTTGTTTTGAAACTGTAAAAAAAGATTTATGTAAAGATACTTTGGGGAGAAAAGACTTTCATGTACACTGCGATTATTAGTAGAATGATTGTGACTTAAAAATATGCAACTTGAAGACAAATGTGAGACTCTGGTAGAAGCCACTGGAGATTGCTTGCTATAGTCACATCTGTTGCTTTTCTGCAACATAAGGGTTGTGGCCAAGAAACCATTGCCAAGTGAAGTGTTTATCCTTCATGTTTTCTTCTAGGAATTTTAAATTTTGAGTTGTATGTTTCAATCTTTGACACAATTTGAATTAATTTCTATATATGATATAAGATAAAAGTTCAGCCTCATTTTTTGTACATGTATATCTGGTTTTAAATGACTAGATTTAAAAAGGAAGAGACACAGAAGTATTGAAGTGTATTAAAGGTTTTTATAATAGTTACATTGGTGTAGTAGCTTTCTTTTTGTGTTAGCTTTCTTATAGGGAGAGTGTTTTGAGACAGTGTCTTGATTTGTGGTCATGGCTGACTTAGTGGTATTCTATGAAGCACAGAGTGACCTTGAATTCATAGCAGTCTTTCCTCAGTCACCTAAGTGCTGGGATTACAGGCATGCGTCACCATGGCCACACAGGTGCTGGGATTACAGGCATGCATACCTTTTTCATCTACCTTTCTATATGAGCTTTTAAAAAAAATGCAACTTTAGCAGTGGTTTTTATAATGTTAGGTCTTTTCCTGAAACCCTTCCACTGTCCCTAACTTCTCTTAGAAACTACCATTTGGAATGATATAACTAACAAGCATTGTTTTAAAAAATAACAGTAAATAAATTCTTTGCTCCTTCTCACTTTTTCCCCTGGATATCGGTTATCACTATACAGCATAGTAAAGGGGCAAGTAATTGAAAAGAATGTTGCTGCTCTTTAAAACGCACTTTAGAATCATCCAGGTGGGGTTCCAGAAATGGAGACCTCTAACTGTAGCTTTGTGTACCTTCAGGACTTCAAAAAGCAACCAAAGTAAAAAGAAAGGGCCACGGACTCCTAGTCCACCTCCTCCTATACTGGAAGATATCATTCTGGGGAAAAAATACAAAGAAAAATATAAAGTGAAAGACAGGATAGAAGAAAAACCAAGAGATGGAAAGGACAGAGGTCGAGATTTTGAAAGGCAAAGAGAAAAAAGAGACAAGCCAAGGTAAGTAGAATTGTTTAGTCAGTGTTTATGTGAAACCAAGATTCCTCACTGCAGAAGCTGTGGGGCATAGGTGGATAGCTTTTTAAAATTATTGTTTTCAACTGTGTATTGTTTAATAGTTTCCACAATGAGTCATGAGTTATATATTATTTAACATCAAATGATCTTAGTGTCTTTACTAAGTGAAAGTTGAAAATGATAACAATATTAGATGCATAAAAGTTGCATGTATGGACAGCAGTATCAGGTAGATCTCCGGAATGTCATTCTGTACATCTGGGACTGCATTCATCACACAGTACTCTCTCACACACCATTCTGGTTTCTCTGAATTTAATGGCTTTAGATTCCTCATATGTAGAATCATTCAATATTTGACTGGAATATTTCATTTAGTATAATGTCTGGAAAGCTCATCCACATTGTAGCGTGTGGCAGAGTTTTCTTCTTGGTAAGGCTGAGTATATTTCATATGACACAAATCATACTTTGTTTCTTTCCCATTTTGATGATGTTTATTTATTTTTCTAACCCAATTGCTCGGGCTAAGATTTTGCAAACTACATTGAATAGAAAGAGCACCCTTCCTGTAGTGCTTGTCTTATAGGAAAACCTTCCATCTTTTTCTGTTAAGTGATATGTTAACTCTGGACTTTTCATAAATGGCTTATTGATTATCATCATCATTATTTCAAACAGGGTCTCATTATGTAGCTCTAGCTTCTTTGGAACTTGCTATGTAGACTAGGGTGGCGTGGAACTCACAGAGGCCTTAAACTGTACCTCTTGAGTGCTGGGATTAAAGGCATGTGCTACCATGCTCAGCTCTACTGAGTACTATTAAATGTTGTTGTCTTTTGTCAGATGTTTTTTGTGAGTTAGTATGCCTGACTGATTGTTTCCTCCTTTTAGTTAATGTGGTATATTTGTGAAATACAATTTTGATGAGAGCCAGATTCATTCTTGATCAGTTTTCAGATTAATTGAGATTAATTCTTCTGTAAATTTAATGCTTCCTTTGAAAAAGCATAATCTCTTTCCTTCTTCCTCTTTCTTTCTCCCTCAAACAGTTGGAATTTGTAAAGATTTTAAGGAAGTAGGGAGATAGCTTGGTGGTCTGTAAGCAGGAGAACCTGAGTTCAGTTCTCAAATGCCAACAAGAATCCGAACATGTCTGTAACCCCACCACTGTAGGGTGAGACAGATGGGTCCTGAGGGCTCGCTGGTCATCCAGCCTAGCTGACGCACTGACGTCTAGTTCAGTCAGAGACCCTGTCTCAAGGCAGAGATTGTTAGAGGAAGTTACTCGACATCCTGCTCTGGCCTTCTTAGGCATCCCTCCCTTCCAAAGAAGGATTTTAATACAAAAACTATAGGGGAGAAAGGCACAAAGAAAGGATACAGTACTCATTTTCCATGACAGGTGTGGGCTTCTCAAGAGAGTAGCCGGTCTTTTGAGTTTTAATGTGATCAAAATTTTGAAGTTACGTAATCAGGGCAGACATTTTATGTGACTGCTTTGATACAAAATCCTAAACAAGTTACTAGGTCTCTGACGTTTTCTCAGCTACAAAATATCTATAATACTCTTCATTGAGTTCAAGTCAGGACTGAATGAAGGAATACTTCTTAAAACTAAGCTAAAATGTTCAAAAAATATGAACACTCCATTTTTCTACCAGAATGGCAGAAACTTGGGATTTACTCTTGGGATTATGCTCTAAAGTTGGCTAGATTCTTATTTCCTGTTTTCAGTGGAAATGCTTATGTATTTCTACTGTATTTTAGAGCAGGCCAGCTCCATTGCTTAGCACATACCTTTTACATAAACGTGAGAATCAGGGTCCAGTCAGGCTCTCAACCATAGCTGCCACTCCCTGTCTTGATCTGCACTCTTTTTGTTTTCATAATTCTTGGTCATTAGCGCTTTTTTTTTTTTTTTTTTAAGAGCAAGAGAAAGAGGATTGATCTCTGTATTATGTAGCTCTGACTGTCCTGGAACTTACTCTGTATCCCAGGCTGGTCTTGAACTCACAGAGATCCACTTGTCTCTGCCTCCTGAGTGCTGAGATTAAAAGTGTGGGCTAACATGCCTGGCTGGCCATTGACTTTTAAAGTAGTAGAGGAGAAGAAAATGTAAGGATCTTTAAATCCTTTTTCTGAAACTTAAGAGTATATGAGAAGGAAATATGGTTAAGATGATAAAGCCATTATTTGGTGATAGATTAGTATTCTGGCTTTAATGTGTTGTTTTGATTATTTTAAGCTTAAACTGTAGTTTTCCTTTTAGGCACCAAGATCTACTAGAAATGGACTACATGATACTTTTAAAAGATATTGTAGATTAACTGGGACTTTCGTATGTATGTTCTTTGAGCCGATCATCAAAGAATATTGTAGATACTCTTGAATCAGTTTTTTAAATGTAATTTAGACAGTTTATTGCCGGATAGGCATGTCTCAAATGATAGCACTTCTACTGGTCTTTCAATTCCATCAATCTTCTGATTGCAGACTTGGCTGTGTTGCCGTGGCCCCACCAGCCACTGTTTTCATGCAGGAACCACAGTGCCAAATGCCAGCTACTTGTCTCTTCATCTTGGTCTTGCCACAGAAGGAGCACGTGTACTTGGCATGCTAGCTGATTTCAGTTTTCTTCACCATTTTCTGGAGGGAGGCACCATAGTGGGTCCTATATTTCCTAATGATCCCTACCTTCTTGGTGCACTTAGCCATATCACGAGAACCTAAGCCCAAGAGGACCTGGAGAAGACCTCTTGAGTCAGTTTTCAGTGTATCCCAGAAACAGATTAAGAACTGAATTCAGTCGCAGTCATTCTTCATTTCTTTTATTTTTAAATACTTTCTATTTGGGGGAATCATAATATAATTACATCATTTCTCCCTATCCCTTTCTCTAAACCCTCCCATGTACTTTTCCTTACTCTTTTTCAAATTCATGGCCTTCTTTCCTTTGGTGTACATGTGTGTTCTTAACTACATAAATACAACCTTCTCAGTCTGTATAATGTTACTTGTATGTGTATTTTCAGGGCTGACCTTTTGGTATTGGATGACCAGTTGATGTGCTCTTAGGGAAGACTGTTTCTCCTGCTTCGAGTATTTGTTCGTTGTTTGTAGTTCTTTGTCTAGGTTTGAGGCCTCGTGAGCTCACCTCTGTCCATGTCAGCATGTGTCTTGGTGTCAACTTGTTCGATTATGTTTAGACAGTCCTGTTGGTGAGACTTAGTGGGTGTAGCTTCTGCCATTTCTAGGAGATGGAGTCTCACAGAGACTCTGATCCTCTGGCTCTTACACTCTTCCTACTCCTGCAGTGATCCCTGAGCTTTATGTGCAGGGCTTGTGTTGTAGATGTATCTTGGGCCTGGGCTCCACAACTGTGCATTTTGACTGGCTGTGCTCTTCTGTAATGGTCTTGTGTCCTGTTACACTTGTGGGTTTAAAGACTATACATACTTAGAACTCTGTTAGGGATTAGTCTGGTTTAAAGTGACTGTTCCATTTCATCTCGGAGATTTCTCCTAGAGCTTTTGTTTGCACTTACTCATAAATCACTTACATCTTTAAAAGGTAATGCCCTTGTAATTTTAGAGCATTGTGAATTGAAATGTACCCTGCGTTCTTATCTATACTTCCAGCTTTAACTTTATATCCCATCTTATTTTTAAGGACTTTCCTTGGCTGGAATTGAAACTCTTAAACAGGTTTCTTGTTGTTCCTCCTAGGTCTTCTTCCCCAGGACAGCACCATTCTCCTCTGTCTTCTAGACATCATTCATCCTCTTCCCAGTCAGGATCGTCTATTCAGAGACATTCTCCTTCTCCTCGTCGGAAAAGAACGCCTTCCCCATCCTACCAGCGGACTTTAACTCCTTCTTTACGACGTTCTGCCTCTCCTTATCCAACACATTGTCTGTCTTCTCCTCAGAGAAAGCAAAGTCCTCCAAGGCATCGCTCTCCATTGCGAGAGAAAGGGAGGCATGATCATGAACGGACTTCACAGTCACATGATCGGCGTCACGAAAGGAGGGAAGGTATACTCTGTATTTGAGCTTTTTGTTTTTCAGAGTTCTTGTACTTTATTTTAAAATTGCACGTCCATATTCATCATTACATAAGAAACAGAAGAGGATTGTGTTGTATTGAGTCTTCTGTGACATGCAGACTGGGTCAATAGCCAATGCTTAAACTCGGAGAATTGTAAAGTATTAAGTATGCACACGTAGGCACTTAGAGGTATGTAAATTGGTGCCTCCTGCGCCGTTTTAATGAGTACTTTTGGACATCTGAGTGTTGATGTTTCTCTACTTCCTAATTTTTTTTTTTTTAGAACAAGGAGACAAGTGAACTGGGGACTTGGTTAGTGGCAGAGCACTTGCCTAGTATTTTTGAGACCATAAGGTTGAATCCCCGGCACCACAGAACGTAGACAGGCAACTCCAAGGAAGATGGAAGGAAGGAAAGCCGCAGATAATTGATCGAGTTTAGAAGCGCAGGAAGGTGTGATAAAGGAGGTCAGGGGAAGCTCCCAGAAGGTCGGTGCAGTTAACGGCTGGAATTTCTAGATGGAATCAGAATGAAGTAAGAAGGCTTGGGAGTGCAGCCCAGTGGTGGAGCTCTTCCCATGTCTGAGTCCTAGACTTGACTCCCCAGCACCCCATAAAAAAATTTTCCTTTCTGGATCCCTGGAAGTTAAGTTGAGGCAGATGTGCTCTACCAGTTGAGACTGGATGCTGTATAGAGTAATAGCTCTCATCTCTTTCTATATTGTGCTGTGTGTGCATGTGTGTGGGTTAGGTGTACATGTATCATGGGGAGGCCGGAGTGTGCGTCTGTTGGTGTCCTCCCCTATTATTCTCCACCTAATTTTTGAGACCCTCTCTGGATGAACCTCAGCTCACTGAGTAAGCCAGACAGCCCCAGGGGTCCTCTTGTCTTTACCTCCCCATCACCAAGATTAATTTTGTCACTTAATTTTACAGGCTTAATTTTGTCACTTACCCTTATTCTCTATTTCTCTGTTTAAAAACATGAATCTCTTTTTGTAATAAAATCTTAAAAGCTGTGTGTGAAATGTATCATCTAGTTCCCTGAAACTGTAAACAGAATTAGAGTTGTTTCCTAAATGTTACAGAAACTCGAGGCAAAAGGGATAGAGAAAAGGACACCAGAGAAGACCGAGAGTCAGAACACGACCACAGGGATGACAGAGAACCTCGAGACAGCCGGGACCGGAGAGATACTAGAGACCGCAGGGAACTGAGAGACTCCAGGGATATCCGGGACTCCAGAGAGATGAGGGACTATGGCAGAGACACCAAGGAGAGCCGTGACCCCAGAGATTCCCGATCAGCTCGGGATGTGCATGACTACAGAGACCGTGAAGCTCGGGATGTTCGAGATGTTCGAGATGTTCGGGATGTTCGGGATGTTCGAGATGTTCGGGATGTTCGGGATGTTCGAGATGTTCGGGATGTTCGAGATGTTCGGGAAGTTCGGGATGCTCGGGATGCCCGGGATGCTCGAGATGCCCGGGATGCTCGAGATGGTCGGGATGGTCATCGGAAGGAGGATGCATACCAGGAAGAAGCCCGCAGTTATAGCAGAAACCACCTGAGAGAGGAGAGTTCTCGGGTTGAGCTAAGGAATGACTCTAGAAATGAGTCTCGGAGTGAAATTAGAAATGACCGGATGGGCAGAAGTAGGGGAAGAGGGCCAGAATTGCCTGAAAAGGGTAAGGTTTTTGGCATGTTAATGAACTGTATCTTGAATATTCACATAGAAAGCATTAAATATCTAAGGTTTTTTTTTTTCTAAATGCATTATTACCTACATTTATTGTTAGTATTTTGTGAGAGTAATTTGCAATCAGTTGAATTTCATATTGGAATTGCTAACTTGAGTAGAAAAACCTAATTACTAACTTAAGTAGAGTTGGGTGTGTCATGCCCACTGTACTGACTAATGTAGAATACTGTGAAAATAGCTACAACAGAATCACAAGAAGGTAATTTCTAATAAACTGGTGTGAGGGGATCGAATGATTATTCAAGGAGAGTTAAAATGATGTATTTTCAAAATTGTCAAAATAATTGATTTATGTATTCATTATTTATACTGTTTCAAACCATCGTGTCTCATTTTCGTAATCCAAATATCTGTGAAATATTTTTGACTGCAAACCACTGAGATTTAGTTAGTTTGGCCTCCCTCCTCATCCACTCCTCTAACCTCTTTCCAAGCACTGCAGACTCCCATCTCTTGGGCCTCCCGCTGGCTTGCCGCTCTATCCCTGTTGGGTAATTCACATTTAAGTGTGAAGGTCTTTTGGCTTCTTTGTAGTGGTCTTGGCTATTGTTTTAGGAAATTTTCTGTTTCTTTGTTGGTTTGTTTGTTTTGGTCTTGATATATAACCTAGGTTTGCCGTGAACTTGAGGTCTTCCTTGCCCCTCTTTCTCCAGTATTGGAAGTATAGACATGCCCAGCCTCTAGGCTTTTCTTCATCCTTTACTTTTTCATGTAAATATTAGAAAAAAAATTGCAATTTCATGAAAAGCTGTTGAATTTTTATTTAAAACATTTAGCATATCAATTTATACCTTTCCCATTAAGATTTTATGCATATTTAAATTTTAAAAATCACAGCTGGGGTGTGGTAGTACATGCCTTTAATCCTAGCACTTGGGAGGCAGAGGCAGATAGGTCTCTGTAAGTTTGAGGTCAGCCTGGTCTACAGAGTGAGTTCCAGGTTTTTCCTGTGTAGCCAGGGCTACACAGAAAAACCCTGCTTCAAAAAACATAAAGAAAGAAAAGAGAGAGAGAGAGAGAGAGAGAGAGAGAGAGAGAGAGAGAGAGAGAGAGGAGAGAGAGAGAGAGAGAGAGAGAGAGAGAGACAGAAAGAAAGAAAATAATAAAAATCTAATGTGAAGGAATTAAGGATTCAAAGGATATTAAAAAGAAATGAAAGGGAAGCTTCTGTGTACTGGCTTTGCCAATGTTAACATCTTAACACAGCATCAAAAGAAGAAATTAACACAGCCACAAAGCCTGTGTGCATATGTGAGTGTGTACATACTGTCAAATGAGTAGTCATACTGCCTTCTAATCAGGTTAATCATTATACCATTGAAAGATTCCCTTGTGTTGCTCCTTTGTAACCACACCCATTCCTTTCCCATCCTAGACTCCTGTAACCTCTAACGGGTCTCTTGTTTCATGAATGTTTTTAAATGAAATCTTGCTGTATGCGTTTTGACACTGGTTTTTTTCACTTAGCACAATAATCCTGGGGTACATCCAGTTTGTTGCCAGTCTTGTCTTTCTTCTGGCCAAGTGTTATTGTATGGTAGATTTACATCATTTGTTTAACCTTCACTGCTGAGAGAAGTTCGGGTACCTTCCAGTTTGGTGACTATTAGGGTTAGATTACTATGAACAATGAACATTTTTTTTTTCCACATCTTTCTTTGTTGGATTTTTGTTTTGTTTTGGGACTTGGATCTCACTGTAGCCTGGCTTTGATCTTCTGTTCCTCCTGCCTCTTCATCACAGGGGCTGGGGTTATAGGCTTCTTCAACCATGCCTACTTTCCATGTCTTTTAAGAAAGCTCAGATACCATCTCATGTTGTCAAATTACCTTGGTTCTATATTGGAATATTTTCACAATAAACATACAATTAAAGCAATAATATATATCCCCATTTTTTCCAGTTTTTCATGCTGTATCTCTATTAAATATGAAGTAGGTTTTTTTGTTTTTGTTTTTGTTTTTTACTGTTTTGGAAGTTAGTTTAAGTCAGTCTTCTAGCTGTATGTTCCCGTCCGATGACTTCCTTATAGATAGGCTAAACTATGGCTTACCTTACTGTGATGTAGTCAGTCCTTGGACAGCTTGGGTTCTCTGGCCCACATAGTGTCTTTGTTGTTGTTTTGTTTTGTTTCCTCGACAGTGTATATAACATTTTAGAATTTAAAAAAATTTAAAACTTTATACTATTTTGAGGAAAGATTGTGACTGATTATCTTGTTGCATAAAATGTGTCTGTTAAATATTTTTGAACATCCTTTGTGTAGGAAGTCGAGGCACAAGAAGTTCCCAAATGGATAGCCACAGTAGTAGCAGCAACTACCATGACAGCTGGGAAACTCGAAGTAGCTATCCTGAAAGAGACAGATACCCTGAAAGGGACACTCGAGATCAAGCAAGGGATTCTTCCTTTGAGAGAAGGCATGGAGAAAGAGACCGTCGTGACAACCGAGAACGAGGTTTGTCCCATAGCCATGTATCCTTTAGTGCTCTTTAAATGAGTATCCAGCTACTTTTAACATGAAATGGAGTTTGGGATCTATACTTGGTTACATATTTGAAGCTATTCATATTTTGTGTGGTGCAGGAGTGATTATGTAAATAGCTACCAGCACCTAATCAACAGATCTGAAGAACTTGGGTTGCCCTATTGCTTGTGAATTATTGTCTGCCATTACCAGTTAAACCCCTGTAGCCAAAGGTCCTGGCTACTCAATAATTAGCTGTTGTCAGTCCTTTTTCAGAGTGTCAGAGATCAGCTAAGGGGGGGGGTGGAAGGAAGGGGGGGGGAGAGAGAGAATTGAGGTGGGGGGGGGGGTCATATGGCTGAGGATTATTCAGAAAGACATGTTTGTATTCTGTCCTGAGAATCTGTACTCGATGCAGCTAATTTCTTTTCTACATCTGAAATAGAAGTTTCCTGATGATCTGTTAGATGATCTTTACATCAGTTTGAAGCAGGATTATTAGAAAGTACATAAGGATTAGATGCAGAACAGAGTCTCTGTGATACCATCTACTTACCTTGGAGTGTTTATTAAACATCAAGGAAAGATATTTAAGTAGAGGTGTAGAGGCAAGAGAAGCACCCAGCTTTGCAAAATGATAAACAGATTCTACTGAGAATAAAGAATAGGTACAAATCCCTGAGATGGGAAATAACTACTCTACCATGTCCGAGTATAAAAGAAAACTGGTATGGCTCTAGTATGCTGAGCAGGGGGAAGATGGAGGGAGGCTGAGGGTGGATGTATGCTCAGACATAACTTGTTCTCACTTTCACAGTCTGAGTAGGGCATACACAGACAGCTGAGATGCGGTGATTGCCAGGACTATGTAAAGTTCTGTCAGGCAAAGTAACAATCCTGTGGAATGTCAAGAAAGCCCCCTTAAGCAAAGAGGTATTGTCTGCATTAGCCTAGAGATTGTGTGAGCTTGCTGGAAGCAATGGGAAAGTGTGGACTTGGTATTGGTGGCATAAATAGACATACAGGCCTGAAGAGACTCATCTGCTCCCAAGTAGCAAGCATTAAGTTATAGGGCTGCAGTGTGGGCTCCTGTGATTGGTAGCAGAGCAGCTGGAGGAAAAGACTAAATAGGGGCTATAAGCCATAAACAGCCTCTAAACCAGACTGGATGGTCAGATTTCATTGCTTTTTCCTGGCTACAAGTAACTTCTTTTTAAGCACGTGGGTCTGAGTTTTCAAGAGAAACGTATGCATCTGGTCAGGAACTGAAGGCAGATACTGACCACTTAGACCGTTGATATCGTCATCTGAGAAGAGCTGAACGAGTTCTGCACTAGGTAGCAACTGTAGAGCTGGGGGCTGGAAAAGAAAGAAATGTTGGGATGAAATCAGTGTGCTTGTGTGGAATGGGAGTGGGAAACATGAAGGGAGAGAACAGAAGGATGGCAGTTTGGCACGGCGCTGTGGCACTTGGTAGAACATTTGTATTTTTCTTTAAGATAGGAAGTTTCAGCTGGGATCCTAAAGGTTTCATGTGTCAGACACTCCGGCTTTTGGTGCTGCTGCATCCACGGTCACGTCACGGATAGGAACTACTGGGAAACCGCCGCACTGGGTGTTTCGTTGTTGTTGTTCTTCCGGTTATCTCTTAACACTGATTTTGTTTATGATCACAAACCGGAAACTGCCCCTAAACATGGGTCTGTTGGAAAAAAAGCTGTGATACAGTAGATTCATTTTTTTTTTCTTTTTCCGAGACAGGGTTTCTCTGTAGTTTTGCGCCTTTCCTGGAACTCACTTTGTAGACCAGGCTGGCCTCGAACTCACAGAGATCCTCCTGTCTCTGCCTCCTGAGTGCTGGGACTAAAGGCGTGCGCCACCACCGCCCGGCATAGATCCATTTTTTAAAGTTGTAATAGATTTCAGCAAAAGCAAAAAGGAGTGAGAAAAGCAGACTTTTGGTTCTGCTATTTCTGAGTAACTCTGGCAAAATTACCAGAATCACTTCCATGCCAGAGTTGCTAAGATTTTACAGAAAGAACAGTAAAGACTCAGTAAGATTTCATTGTGTTTGAGCTTTAAAAGTCTATGAACTTTTGAAATGGACCTAGAAACTCTTTTTTGTTGTTGTTGGTTTTTCGAGACAGGGTTTCTCTGTGTAGCTTTGCGCCTTTCCTGGAACTCACTCTATAGCCCAGGCTGGCCTCGAACTCACAGAGATCCGCCTGCCTCTGCCTCCCGAGTGCTGGGATTAAAGGCGTGAGCCACCACCGCCCGGCAGGACCCAGAAACTCTTACGGAATAAATGTAGACAAATCTTATTTTTTGACTTTTTTTTTTTCCCCCAAACAGGGATAAGACAAATTCAAGTTTCTATAATACTCTATATATTCTAAAACTAACTACTTAATAGACATTCTAGTTGCCAGCCTGTTGAACATACTGTAGCATGGTTTATTGATTAAGCAGCCAGTAGACACTATTATATAGCATGAAAGTAATCTCCTAGATTGCCGTGTCATAGACACAGAGCATGAACATAGTCTCCTAGATGACAGTGTCCTAGATTATGTCACAGTGTTTGCTGTTAAAAGGGTCTGTCTCTTTAGAGAAGAGCCTGTGTGTGCCGTGCCCTAGGGCACAGTTTTGATCCCAGACTAGTTTCCTGTTCAGCCAGGCATTTGAGCAGCATGTATTCAGTTTCTCTGTTTATAGGGTTTGTGTGAAGACTGGGGGAAGAGAAATATGTAAGAGGCAATGAGACAATCATTTTAAATACATCAATAAATGGAATTTTGTAATTTGATTACTTTAAGGTTTAGAGGCACCAGTACCCCTAATATAGCTTATTAGAAATTAATATTGCAGCCGCAAGTTTTAAACATTGGTTTGTTCTTTATTTTCTCACTTGATAGCTGTACTTTGGTGTGAGTATATTTGGGGCCAAAATTAGGTGTGACTTACAAGGGAAATTCTTTTCCTCCAGCTCCTATGTTCTACACCTCCTGCTGCCCCTATCCTTTGCCACCAGTGTTCTCAGGTCCTGCTGAGGGGACAGAGAAGATAAGAGGTGAAGGGTGGAGATGGCAGGAAGTCGGGTTGAAGGAGTGGGCTGCAGACAGGGTAGGAGCATGCAGAGGGAACGCAGAGATGGAGCAGTACAGGGTGGGGTTGGTGGGAAGCAGAAAGCAGGGTTGCTAGAGGGCAAGTGAACATCATGTTGAAGAAAGTAGTGTTTAAAGGTTGCAATGATTAAGTGAAAAGTTAGTTCAGAACCTGATCTATAATTTGTTGTTCCTGTGACCTGACAGAAAATTTAAGACTTACCTGTAAGTTATCTGACAAATCAATCACTGACCAACTTGATTTTTATTGTAGATCAAAGACCAAGCTCACCTATTCGACATCAGGGAAGGAGTGAGGAGCTTGAGCGTGAGGAAAGAAGAGAGGAGCGGAGAGTAGACAGAGTGGATGAGAGAAGAGATGAACGGGTCAGAGACAGAGACAGGGACCGAGAGCGAGAAAGGGAGCGGGAGAGAGAGCGCGAACGAGATCGGGAGCGAGAAAAAGAAAGAGAAAGAGAACTAGAAAGAGAGCGAGCCAGAGAGCGGGAGAGAGAGAGAGAGAAAGAGAGGGAGAGAGAGAGGGAGAGGGAACGAGAACGAGAGAGAGATCAGAGAGATCGTGACCATGATCGGGAGCGAGAAAGAGAGAGGGAACGGGAGAGGGAAAAAGAACGGGAGCGGGAGAGAGAAGAGAGAGAGAGGGAACGAGAACGGGAGCGCGAGAGAGAAAGAGAGCGGGAGCGAGAAAGGGCAAGAGAAAGAGAGAAAGAACGAGAGCGGCAAAGAGAATGGGAAGACAAAGACAAGGGCCGCGATGACCGCAGGGAGAAGCGCGAGGACATCCGAGAGGACCGGAACCTCAGGGACAGCCATGAGGACAGGAAGTCCAAGTAAGGAGGGCGGGACTTCAGTGTTCTGCTCAGCTCCACTTCCTGTACCTCAAAGTCACTGCGTGTGTGTATGTATGCATGCGTGTATATATGCGTCATATATTTATTTGGTGTTTAAAATGTTTGTAGTTGTCTAGAAAAATAGTTCTGAGTGCTGTTGATGGGCCCCAGGGTTATAGTTTTTCATATTTGTCTATTTTTGTTCTCCCTCTCCACGTTAAGAAGAATAAATGCAGTCTTCAGACACTGTAGGCATCTTTCATATGGTTTCATGCTTTGACTAATATTATTTGATGTATCTACTGTCTTACAATAGCAACTTTTTCTGATTTTTTTTTTTTTCATATCTAACCAACTCAAAAGTTGAACCTAGAAAGTTAGGAATGATGTTACATGTAACCAAAAATAGTTAAGTGAGACTAATAATTTCATCTTTTCATTGCTTTCTCATCTCAATGCTCTGAACTTACCTAGAACTTTAAAAACAAAAACATTGTTTTATGTAGGTTTGCTGAATTACCATAGTATTTGTTTTATTATTCTAATTTCAGATTTTCTTAGAAGTAATTTAAATGGTTTCTCTTGGGTTGTAAATTCTGCCCCTTGCTGTGTTAGCAGTTTATCACAGAAGTGAGCAGTTAAGAGATTCTGTAGATGAGCCGTTTGACCTGGGCTCAGCAGCCTGTCTTCTGCGGGTGACCCTCAGCACTGCTTGCTGTGGGTCTGCAGTTGACCCAAAGTGCATTCATCACAGGTCCAGCAATCCCAGCATCTTATTTCTCCTCCACATGACCCTTTAGCCTACAGTAGTCCAGACTGTGACCCCAAAGCCCCCATCCTCTCTGTGTTCATACAGTGTGGCTTGTAGTCCTTATTCTTGTGTATACCAAGTCTGAGCCTACCCAGATTTAAACAGTATAGAAACAGGCCAACCCTTGGAGACAAAGCTTTACACAATGAATCCATGGGTTGGGTCCTGTGTGTTGTCATACTATTCCTGGGGCTGCCCTACATGTTCACTCATCTGTGTAAGGAGCTGTTCTTCTTCCTCAGCCTTTGACCCTGGTATCTAGAAACAGTGTTAACTCTTAAAAATTTAGAATTTAGTGGGAAAAAAGTCAGTTTATGAGCATGTGAGAAAACACCAGTAATTTAACCAAGGTGTTTAAGCTCCTACTCAAAGTTTAGTTACAAAAACAAATACAGTAAGTATATGAATTATCTTTTGATTTGTCATTAAGCAAGTAATTCATTTGTCTGTAGACAAGGGGTTTATATAGTGTACCCACATGTGCACATGGTACTGGACTTTTGTAACTAATTTAACTCGCTTTATTCTCAGGAGAAGGGCTTTTGCTTTTTCTCCAAATTTCAGATGAGAGAACTAAGATTTGGGGACCTCAAAGAACTTACTTAGGTTGCATGGAGGTAATGTGGCTCTCAGTCTGTCATAGCTTTTGAACTTCCAAAATATTTCTAGATTTTTCTTACCCCTCTTCTCTGCATGAGGCATATAAAATTGACGAGTTGTATTATAGAATACATTATTGTATTGATTTTTCTGCTGTATATTATCAGCTTGTAGTATGTAGATCTGGCAGGTATCCCTCTAGTGTTTCATGTGTATGATCAGAGAAATGTCCCTGTGGATTTTAACTCGGTTTTACGTTTTAGCAAACGAAGTAGAAGAAATTTGAATAAATCCCCACATGCCCTTTGTGCATACAGCTCTGACTGCATTGCTTTCCTGCAATGACACTTCTGCTCACAGTGACAAGAGCTGGTAACGAGCAGAGTACAGAAGTCTTTTTCCATGTGGAACTTTTAACTCGTGTTTGTCCAAATTTAGGAAACGCTATAGAAATGAAGGGAGTCCCAGCCCCCGACAGTCTCCCAAGCGCCGGAGGGAGCATTCTCCCGACAGTGACACCTACCACAGCGGGGATGACAAAAGTGAGTAGTCCGTTTTCTGTCTGCGCATGCGCATTGTAGCCATGAGCCATCCTCTTCCATCGCAGCTGATGAACCCAGCTTTTGAAAAATGCCCCTTTTCTCTGCTACTAAGTGTTTTCTTGTGTGAGTAAGGTGTGTTAGGAATCCTGTTTTACACAAGGCCACTATCTTTTCCTAATTTGGGTTGTTAGAGATGTATTTTTATCTTTATTGCCATTTTGAAGGTTTTGAAATGAAAAGTGAGTTTGTAGTTAAATGTGATGTTCTGTTTACTGACCTAATGGGGATGTGACTGCTTTTATTTTTGTGTAGATGAAAAGCATAGACTCTTAAGCCAGGTTGTACGGCCACAAGACTCTCGTTCCCTCAGCCCATCTCACCTCACAGAAGACAGGCAGGGTAGATGGAAAGAGGAGGATCGGAAAGCAGAAAGAAAAGAGAGCTCAAGGCGCTATGAAGAGCAGGAACTCAAAGAGAAGATTTCTTCTAGCGATAGGCAAAGGGAGCAGGCAGACAGCATGGACAGCTCCAGAGCACGTGCACAAGACCTGACTAGCCACCGCCAGCCTGAAGACCGCGACCGTGACCGCGACCGCGACCGCGATGGACCTGATCGAGCCCACGATGAAAAGAAAAAAGCAAAAGCTCCAAAGAAACCTATTAAGAAGAAAAAGGAAGATGATGTTGGACTAGAGAGGGGCAACCTTGAGACATCTGAAGATGCTCAAGTGTTTTCCCCAAAAAAAGGACAGAAGAAGAAAAACATTGAGAAGAAGCGTAAAAGATCCAAAGGGGACTCTGATGTCTCTGATGAAGAGATGGCGCCGCAGAGCAAGAAGAGAGGCCCACGCACGCCCCCTCTGGCCATCAAGGAGGAACTGATTGACATTTGCACCGACAAGGACGGCATGCTCGAGGAGGACCCGCTGAAGAAAGAAGAGACAGCCTTTAGTGACTGGTCGGATGAGGACGTGCCTGACCGCACAGAGGGCATGGAAGCTGAGCACACCGCGGCAGCGGCCACTCCTGGCAGCACCCCGTCCCCGCCGTCTTCTCTTCTCCCTCCTCCGCCCCCTGTGGCTGCGGCCGGTACTGCAGCCACTGCTCTTGCCTCCTCTGCTACGGCTGCCACCGCCTCTGCCCTCACTTCCAGCTCCGCTGTCACAGCCAGTGCCAGTGAAGACTCACACAGAAAATGCCACAGGACACGTGGAGTGGAGAAAGTAGAGGCATGTCATGTGACTCTAGAAGATACACCACATCGCAGGCTGGTGGATCAGAAGAGGAGCAGCAGCCTCGGAAGCAATCGGAGTCACCGTAGCCACACCTCTGGTCGCCTGCGCTCCCCATCTAATGATTCTGCCCATCGTAGTGGGGATGACCAGAGTAGTCGAAAGAGAGTGCTGCATAGTGGCTCCAGAGACAGAGAAAAAACAAAAAGCCTGGAAATCACGGGAGAAAGAAAATCGAGGATTGATCAGTTAAAGCGTGGAGAACCCAGTCGAAGTACTTCTTCAGGTAATGAAGTTGAGTTGTGATCCAGTTATTGTTTTTTTGCTAGTGTGTTGGATCCAAATTATAACTCCAAAGCAGTGCCAAATTGGGTATTGTACATACTGCCTGAAATTGCGTGCAAGTTCAAAGCAGAACAGAGGCTTTACCATTTCATGAAAATCTGGTCTGCTGCCACTTTAGTACCGCTTCTGTGAAGAAGCATGTGCAGGACCTTCGTGATGTGTTTCCTGTTGGAGCTTCTGTATGTTAACTCTTTCCCCCTCCTGCAGCCAGAGCTACCTGTAGTCCATAGAAACTAAGATAGCGAGGAGATGGAAGACCAGAGAGTCGGCTGTGTTAGTGCCTGGACTCTGCGTTCGGGTTTTGATGCTTTGGTTTGTAGCGAAATAGACAAGGGCGCTTGTGAAACTTAGTTTAGCACTTCAGTTGAGAGTTTGGATGTATGGGATTACAGACTCTAGAGACACGGAGTATGTCAACAGAACATTAAAAACTGTAGAAAGTAGAGAAGTTATAAGTTTGTTTCTTGCGCTGACTTTCATGTGCATACTCACTAGATCGCCAGGATTCCAGAAGCCACAGCTCAAGAAGAAGCTCCCCTGAGTCTGATCGGCAGGTCCACTCACGGTCTGGGTCATTTGACAGTCGAGACAGACTTCAAGAGCGAGATAGGTATGAGCACGAACGGGAGCAGCGGGAGAGGGACCGCAGAGACCCAAGGCAGAGGGAATGGGACCGCGAAGCTGACAAAGAGTGGCCACGAACTCGAGACCGACTGCGGGAACGGGAGAGAGAGCGAGACAAAAGGAGAGACTTGGACAGAGAGAGAGAGAGACTGACTGCTGACCCCGTGGACAAGGACAGAGACCGAGATAGAACTTTCGAGGCCTCTCAGTCAGAATCTGTGAAACGCAGTGACGCCAAATTGGAGAGTGAGCATGAGAGAGACCTGGACGGCAGCTCCCGGGACTCCGTAGCTGTGGATAAAGAGAGACTGGACAGAGACCTGGGGTCTCTGCAGGGATTTGAAGATGTGAGTAAAGCTGAGAGAGCCGAGAGTCTGGAAGGTGAGAGCACCACTGTTTCCTCTTGTATTGCCTCATTCCCTTCCGTGAAAGTTCCCTGCAAGACTGTTTTCTTTTGAAGTCATCCATGAATAAATAGACGAAGTGACTCCATTCTGTTACAGGGGAGTAGATGAGTGAGGAAGGTCTGTGGGAGTCAAAGTGTATTCATGTCAGTCCTGTTTGTTGTAAAAGATCTTAAGGAAGTAAAGTCCTGATTGAAGTGAAAGCTAGGGAGCAGCAGAGCATTCAAAGACAGAGCAGTTGCTTCTAATTGCCACCTAAAAACCGAAAGGATAGCTCACTTAGGTGCATTACCTGTAGCTTTTAATAACCATCACATCTTTTTCTTTTGTGTAAAAAAAAAAAAACCCGAGCCAAGCATGATAGCTTACTCCTGTAGTCCTGTCTCCCGGAAGGCTGAGGCAGGAAAATCAGATTCAAGGTCAGCCTGGCTGGCCAGCATAGCTAGACTTGTCTCACCCTGTGACAAAAACTAAAGTGAGGAATTAACTAGCCATCAGGGGTCCCTGTTTGCTAGGGCAGTTGACAGTGAACATGTTGTACCACCAGCCCCTAAAACTCTTGGATGGCAGAGTGACTGTAGAAGCCTGATGGCGCTCCCTGTCTTCCAGCAAGAACGCAGGGCCAGAGCAGCCATTTGGCCCAGTCAGAGCCAGTCTTAAGGCCAGGGGACCTCTGTCCCCACTGCCTGTCCTCTCCACCTGTCACTCCACTGTGCCAGAAAAATTGACTCACTTTAGGGAGTAGGGATAGTGACTTCAGTAAGAGGAAAGTTATAATCAGTTCAGTTTGTTACGGTTCAGTGAAATCCAGTTGAGTTATGCAGAAAGTCTAAACCTCCTTTCAAACCATAGCCCATGATTTCATGTTATTTATACTCAAAATCGAGGTGGAATGTAGTAGGAAGAAAGCTAAGGTAGAAATGTCTTTAAGTCAAATGGTGTGTGTGTGTTTAAAACAGGTGTTATTGAGCTGTCTAATCAGATAGCCAAGAGATGTAAACAGTCACGTTTTTAAACCTGTGGATTTTACTATAGGCTAAATGCTGTCATGCAGCAATTTGGAAACAATAAAAGATGGTTGTGTGTGTACTCACCCCCAGGCCAGAGACAAACCGGTAGGTACACAGGTCTTCCAGTCTCTCACCTTTCTTCACCCTTCCTTTCCCTTTCGTCATCTCTGCTTACTCAGACCAAACCCTTCATGTATTACTTGTGCCTGGAGCTTTCTCCAAGTGCGGCTGCTCTTTGAGCTTCCTTCCACTGTGTTGTGTGTCTGTGTGAACATCCCTGCTCTGTAGAGATTGACTTTCCCGGGTCTTCCTCCCGATTCTTATAAATCACTGTCATCCTTTGTCACCAGAACTATGTCAGGACATTCTGTGTTGCCAGTACTCTGCCTGTGTGCATTCTCCACGTAGTAGTCCTGGGTGAATTACATATAGCCCAAGGGAACAGGGAGAGGCTTCTCGGAGAATTCTTTGGAAGTTCTGCCTCCCTGGGACTCTCCAGTTTCACAGTCACAGTTTACATCATTGTTCTGACATAACCTTCCTTTTCAAATCCCCGGGTTATTAGTTTCTGTTTTATTTGGGGTTTTTTGTTTGTTTGTTGTGCTATGTAATAGCATTGGCCTGTATGGTAAAACCCCAGTCTTTAGAAAGGTGGGTTGTTAAGTCTAACTCCTAGGATGTCTACTTCCTCATGTAACAAGAACGTTTATCTGAGCTTTCATCACGTTACATTTTCATCTCAGTTTGAGTCTAAGTAGTATCTGGTCACAAGTTATAGTTCTAATGGGAGTACAACCTTGGGATACAACTGAATGCAGTTGAACTAATCATTATAATAGGTCCTTTAGGACTGGAGTCACTGTCTTCATCCTGAATGTATCATTTCTTTATTATGACCGCAGGTAATATGGTATAAATATTTAGAAGTGAGTCATTTGCTCTACCATGTAAATATTTTACTCATGGTAGAAAAAAGTGAGTTAGATAAATTTGAAAACCTAAACTCTATTATGTACATTTATTTTTAGAAATATATTTGTATGATAATATTAGAGATGACTTGGTGGGGATATTGGGAAGGTGAATTTTGTAGTAAAGAATAATCAGTAAACTGTTGTTGTGGGAGGAGACTCTTCTGTGGAAGATTTATGCGGGGGGTCACAGTGATGCAGCTTTCCTAAGTTGTTACCATGCTGGCATGGGCTTTTCCATGAGGCCCATGTCTGAGACTCAGCAGGGCTTCTGTGGATGGATTACTCAGCTGAGAGCAGCACCGAGTCCAGCATCTGCTGCTGTACCAGCATCTGAGTGATGCTCTAGATGGCAGCACTGGCTGGGGTGCCTGTGGCCTGTGCCACAAGACACATGCTGCGGATCACCATCAGTGGATGCTTCGGTGGAGGTCAGAACACTGAGTCTTCAGAAAGCCACTACCATGTGCCAGGGGCCCAGAGCCCAGCTGGTACGATTTAAGAGAGAAAACAGTTGTTGGCGTGTGCCCAGAATTAGAGTAACCAAAGGGATTAATCTAATCAAGATTTTCAAACTGAAAAAAAAAATCTAAAATCAGCTCTGGTGACCAACCAAGTTACATAGCATAAAAATGTAACTGGCCAAGAAGGTGTAAAACCCTGGTCTACACTTCTCTTGTTAGTAACATCGTCATTGCTCAGCACAGCCAAAGAAGAAGGTATTCTCATTATATGCAAGCCCACTACGGTGGCATATGGTGATTTCATAAACCAGCAGTATGATGTTATTACTGAGAATAATAGAGTACATAAAGGGATTTTCTTCTGAAAAGTAGAAAAACTATTGGAATGATTAGAAATATTTCATAGCCTCATACTTTTTTATGCTTCAGATGCATACCCATGAGCCTGTTGTTACAGTTTGAAAATAAGGGTTATAGATCCATAAAATATGTAGCTTAGAAATAATTAAGCATATTTATAGTTTGGGGAGTAGGTTTACAACTAGCTCAGCAGGAAATAAAAGCTTAGTCTAGGAATAGTTGAAGGAAAAAGTCAATAAAATAGTAAAATGGAATTTATACTACTGATGCCAACAAAAGCACCTACTTTCTAGTATATTATTACAGCATTCTTCCAAAAATTTCATTCAGTAAGGAAATGTAAACATTGAGACAGAAAGCAGAATTGAGAGGTAGGGAAATCAACAACACCTTCACATTCGTGCTTCTTCTCTGTTGGAAAGTTAGTATTATGAGCGAAATGTCATAGACTAAGATTTGAAATAGCTTTGCAAATGTTTTCAATTAGTTTATTTGGGTAAAAAATTACTGTAGCTTTTTGAAGTTAGACTTTTCTGAATGTTCAAGTGTTATTGTTGAAAATTAAACACACAAAAAGAAGACATGAAATAAGAGGGGAGCTTGTTGAAGAAAGACTCCAACAGAAAGGGAATCGGGGTGGGAAGCAGGGGTGAAAATGGCAAAAAGTCAGTTTGTATATGTATGAAACTGTCAGTTCATATGGGGTTCATACTCAACATTACATCTGATATTTTAATTGTGACCTTACAGTGTGTTTGAATATTGCTACTGTGTTTTTAATATTAAAAAATAACTAGTTAAATTTTTATTTTTCAAGTTAAAATTTTCAAGTGTTAGGCAAAGAAATGTAGTTTTCTGGTTTAAAAAAAAATTTTTTTTCACATCCTTTTATTATGTCCAGTAGTTTCTGCCTTTTAGTTTTGCTATTGCTCCCTCTCATTATTATTATTTTTTTAACATGAACTTAATCTGTCTGTTTAGCAGGAGATGATGAGTCCAAGTTAGATGATGCACATTCATTAGGATCTGGAGCCGGGGAAGGATATGAACCCATCAGTGATGATGAACTAGATGAAATTCTGGCCGGGGATGCAGAAAAGAGAGAGGACCAGCAGGAAGAGGAGAAGATGCCAGGTAATGCATTGCAGAGCTCACAGAAGAACTGTGTGAGTGAATGTGTCCTTTGTTCTCTTCCATGCTGTAAGAAGTGGTAAGGGGCTCTTAGACGAAGCTTCCTTTAGGTCTTAATTAAGGGAAGCCCATTAGAAAGATTATAATACATGCATCTATATTCTTTCATCAACACTGCCTGTGAAAGAGTGTCCTAGGGAAAAGCAGAATTGTAAGATTTCTTTTCCAGAATTTAAGATTTGTATTAATTCGCCCAGAGCCTCACCAAAACCCAGCTGCTTGCCAGTGTCTGGCATGGCAGGTATATGGTACAGGACTTCACAATTTTGGTGGCCTGTGCCAACTTTTTAAACAACTTTCAAAAATAGAATTAGTTTAAGTTTCTTTGAAGACAGTTGACAAACTTCCCTTTCTGCAGTATGTCCATTCCATGACTATTGTCCTTCCTGTGGTCTCTGCATTGCCTGGCCCACTTGAGTGAATACTGTGAAGCAGTGGATACCCCTGAGACGCTCTGGGAGCCATCGGTCCCAGTCAGGGTCTCAGTGTGCAACTTTTTAATTTATTTGATTCATTTTTTTTATTATTATTATTATTATTTTAGTTTTTGAGACAGGATCTCATGTAGCCCAAGCTGACTTCAAACCCCCTATGTAGCTGAGGATGATCTTCACCTTCTGATTCTCCTGCCTGTACCTCCCCAAACCCTGAGGTTATAGGCATTTGCTGCCACACTTATTTTGTTTGTTTTATTTTGTTGTTGTTTTTTTTTACCATAGGGAGTTATTTTGATTGGTCTGGATATATAAAATAGGCTTACTTCGTTTGTCCTTGTATTTCCTAACATAGATGCAGTTTGTCACATCATTTTCAATAGATAATTTCTGTGTGTTAGCATGCACTGTATTACTCTTTTATATTCAGTCATTGATATACTTGCTGGAGACGGGCCATATGCCATAGGACATGTGTGGTGCTCAGAGGGACAGCTCTAGAGAGTCAGTTCTCCTGCCACCGTGTGGGTTCCAGGAATCACACTGAGGTGGAGGACTCAGCTTCAGGCACACTTACTGCTGAGCCATCTCTTGGTGTAAAATAAATTCCTGTTCTGTATTCCTTAACTCTTTTACAGATCCATTAGACGTGATAGATGTGGATTGGTCTGGACTTATGCCAAAGCATCCAAAGGAACCAAGAGAGCCTGGGGCTGCGCTCTTAAAGTTCACACCTGGAGCTGTTCTGCTGCGAGTTGGCATTTCTAAAAAGTTGGCGGGTTCTGAGCTGTTTACTAAAGTTAAAGAGACATGTCAGCGACTTCTCGAGAAACCCAAAGGTAACTTCATTCCGCTTTAACTGGGTAACATGTAACATGCTTAACTATCTGTGTGCTCTTGGGAAGCACTCCATTTGGTTGTCTTGTTGTAGCTGGAGTTTTCCTGCCTGGCCCACAGTCAGGACAAATCTCTCTCACCCGCCAGTCCCACAGCCGCCCAGACCTGACCAAGTAAACACAGAGACTTATATTGGTTTCAAACTGTATGGCCGTGGCAGACTTCTTGCTAACTGTTCTTACAGCTTAAATTAATCCATTTCCAGCCGGGCGGTGGTGGCGCACGCCTTTAATCCCAGCACTCGGGAGGCAGAGCCAGGCGGATCTCTGTGAGTTCGAGGCCAGCCTGGTCTCCAAAGCGAGTTCCAGGAAAGGCGCAAAGCTACACAGAGAAACCCTGTCTCGAAAAACCAAAAAAAAAAAAAAAAAAAAAAAAATTAATCCATTTCCATTAATCTATACCTTGCCACGTGGCTTGTGGCTTACCGGCATCTTCACATGCTGTTTGTCATCCTGGCGGCTGGCAGTGTCTCTCTGACTCAGCCTTCCACTTCCCAGCTTTATTCTCCTCCTTGTCCCGCCTACACTTCCTGCCTAGCCAATGGCCAATCAGTGTTTTATTTATTGACTAATTAGCAACACATTTGCCATACAGAACATCCCACAGCATCTTGTAGAACTTGAGCTCTAGGAATTGTTTTAGGAGTTACATTATTTCTTAAGTTCAAGAAAGTCTTGTAGAACTTGAGCTCTAAGAACTGTCTTAGGGTTTATATTATTTCTTAAGTTCAAGAAAGGCTTAATTCTGCAGAAAAAAAAGTTGGAAAAGTAAGAAAATGAACTTTCTGTATCAAAAATATTTTTGAGGGCTGACGGTTTAGCATAAGCACAGGACACTGGACTTAATTCCAGCACTGTAGAAAAGAGAAAACGCTTTTTACAGACAGTTCGTGTGTCAGAATGCACGGAGGCTTGCTCAGGGCGAAATAAAACAGCTCCATGAAATGAGTAGTTTTTTCTAAGCAGAATGTGGGTGACTTGACAACCCTTAATCTGGTAGTAAGCAGAGGGATGTACCCAAATGTGAATGTCCAGGTTGAGCCTTAGCAGAATGGGTTGTGCAGTGGGGAGGGTCTCTAATCTGTATTCCAGAGAATACCACTTCTCTCCTAATCTCCGTCTGTTTGTGACAGCTGTAGTTGGAATAGTGGTGAACACCACCACTGTCCCTCGTCGGCAGTGAGCAGCAGACTAGTTACTGCAGGCAAGACAGGAGGACAGTGCCTGGCAGCAGCTGGGCTCTGACTGTTCGTATTTAGTCAGAGGATAGTTTATCTGAGTTAACTTTATGGCTTCTGGTGTTTCGGGCTTGTTCTGTAGCTTAGTAATAATTTTGTCAATGAGAGGCTAAGCAGATGCTTAAACAAGGGAAGGGAGGTAAAAAGAGAAAGCAACATTGTTTGACAGTTTTATGTTATGTCCCTAAAAGTTGAAAAAAAAAAGAAATTGGGAAAACCTTTTGTTTTTTTTTATTATTTTTTTCGAGACAGGGTTTCTCTGTGTAGCTTTGGATCTTGCTCTGTCTCTGCCTTCTGGGTGCTGGGATTAAAGGTGTACACCACCACCACCCAGCTGGAAAAAAAATGGTTTTTTTGGTTTGTTTGTTTGTTTTTTTGGTTTTTGGAGACAGGGTCTCTCTGTAGCTTTGGAGCCTGTCCTGGACTAGCTCTGTAGACCAGACTGGCCTCGAACTCACAGAGATCCACCTGCCTCTGCCTCCCGAGTACTGGGATTAAAGACATGCGCCACCACCGCCTGACCGAAAAAAAATGTTTTTAAAGTGTCATGAGTCCATGTCCTTTTTGCTTGTTCCTATAATCAGTAAAGTTCTCAATTTTAATACTACTAATAAATTGTCACTGTGAACATTTTGTAATCTGAAAAGTGACCTAAGGGTTCCTGCCGTACTCTTTTTTACTTTGGTTAGGTCTGTGGCCCTCAGAAAACAGCTCCTATTAACCTCAGTTGTTTGTTTATCATGGCTTAACAAAAATTTCCCTTCTCTCTCTCTCTCTCGCTTTCTCTCGCTCTCTCACTCCCTCTCCCTCCCCCACTTCCTCCCCCCTTCCTCCCTTCCTCTTGTCAAGTGTTTTCTCTTTCTCTTGCATGATATGATTTAAAGCTAACTTACTGTATCTTAACACATTGTCCCAGGTGTTTATGTGACTTAGACCTTTGGCTAACGCCTAACTATGCTCTTAACTGAGGTTGTAGAGGTCACCTTCTCTGCCGTGACTACTTTTGTATCTTGCTGTAGAAGAGTCCTGAAATGTAGAACTGTAAATGATAGTTAATGCTAGGCCAGACACTGAATTTGATTTAAATGTTCTCACTTGACCTTTCTTTCAAGTCAATAATGAGTGGCCTCATTCTCCCTCTGAAGTCTGCTTTTGATACATCTTAAATTTAAAATAGCATCACACTATTGTTTTCAGTAAGACTAGCAATGTAACTACATGTTGAAGGTCCTTCACGAGGGACCATTGCTGCTGGCCTTGACAAGTCATTCACTAAGTGAACTTCAGTAAGTCAGAGGTTCTAGGAGTATTCGGTTAAGTCAGTGCCAACACTTCCCTCTGTCAGGGAGACTTAACGGATGCTTGTTTTTGATTGAAAGATGCAGAGAGCCTTTTCGAACATGAACTAGGGGCTCTCAACATGGCTGCTTTACTGCGAAAAGAAGAGCGAGCGAATCTTCTTAGTGACCTGGGACCATGTTGTAAAGCATTGTGTTTCAGACGGGATTCAGCAATCCGGAAGCAGCTTGTGAAGAACGAAAAGGTACCACGTGGTGGGTGGTAGGAATTGTATATTTTTCATCTTAACTGTTTTTGTGAATTTGCTCTCCTGTCTGCCAGACACGTCAAGGAAGAATTCACATTTCATCCTCAGTAGTATTGATGAGTGCTTGTTGTAAATGATAATTGTTATTCCAAACTTCATGCATAAAAAGTTTATTCATTTTGTGAAATGTTTTGCATTTGATAAAAGCTTCTTGGGATAAGCAGGCATATCAGAGTGCATACAGCATTTACTAGAGAATAATAAAAGTGACTTGAAAGTCAGAAAGGAGAGTTACTTTAGATTTGAGAAGGAGATGATGAGAAATTGAAAAAGTCTTAGGCTTTTTAAAGTTGGGAAACTGGGACTGTAGGTGAGTGTGGTGGACGTGGGCAGTATGACAGAAAAAAATTGGTCCTGTAAAGTTAGAAAAGCATTACTTACTAAGATTTTACAGGACTGGATAGGAAAACATTTAATTTTCTTCCTTTAATATTGCTATCAATATGAAAAAGAGGCAGATTTGGGGGATTAAATTTATAAATTGAAAGTATATGAACTCTTCTCTGAAGATTAAAATGAACACAGATATGAGGAGTGGGAGACATTTTAGAAAGTCAAGTGTGTGGGGCTGGAGAGCTGGCTCAGCAGGTAAGAGCACTTGCTGCTTTCCCAGAGGACCAGAGTTCAGTTCCTGAAACCCATGCTGAGTGGCTCAGAGCCACCTGTATAACTCCAGCTCTGGGGATCTAGCACCCTCCTCTGCTTCTGTGGGTGTTCTCAATGCGTGTGTGTGTGTGTGTGCGTGTGTGTGTGTGTGTGTGTGTGTGTGTGTGTGTGTGTGTGTGTGTGTGTCTCTGTGTGTGTGTGTGTGTGTGTCTGTGTCTCTGTGTGTGTGTGTGTGTGTGTGTGTGTCTGTGTGTGTGTCTGTGTCTCTGTGTGTGTGTCTGTGTTCCTCTGTTTCCTCCGCCCCTCTGTCTCTCTCTCTCCCCCTCTTCTACCCTCTGTCTGTCTACCTCTCTCTGTCTCTTCCTCCCCACTCTCTCTGTCTGTCTGTCTCTCTATCAAATATGTCTGTCTGTCTTCCACACAAACGGACTGGCTCAAAATGACTTTTGACAAAGTTAATCATTCTCCTTTGTGATTTCTGTTTTGTATGTACTTAATATCTCCTCATTCTTCTGCCTAGGTGGCCATCTCTCCTGGCAGCCTTTCTCAACTCAGCATTTCTCTTGAGAGTATTACCACCCCCCATCCCTAAACATGTATGTAGCGAGTCCTCTCTGTAGTTGGGCACTAACAGCGGTCACCATCATCCTTATTTATCAGTTGTAAATGATCACTTGTGTCGTGTTAGGGCTAGTTCCAGTAAGGAGTGCCAGTATCCTCAGGATAGTGCCTGCTTTGTGTACAAGGTATCTCATGGTACTTGTTGGCTCCTTCCCTAATATATCATTGTGTACCTCAAAAACTATAGCAACCCCTGAAAAATCTCATGGAGAATTGTTTAGAACCTTATACACTGTAATAGAGAGTACACATAATTAACAAACCATGTGATACATTGTCTTAATAAATGTTTTAATTAACCCATCTGCAGAAAGAATTATGAGCGTTCAGATGTCTCAGTATTGAAGACATCAGCACTAGCTGGGCCTGGGAGCTCAGGCTTGTGGACACTGCTCAGGAGGATCTTGAGTTGGAGACCAGCCTAAATAGCAATACAAGCTGAAAGAAAGGGACAGAGCTAAAAAACAGTTTCAAACATGAAATAGCCTTATGAAGAACACTGAGATTAACTTTTTTGTTACTGTAAAAATAGAAGTACAGAACTGGATCCTCGGGAAGAACTAGATTCCACTCCAGTGACAAAAAATGGAAAAACTGTTAATCACATATTTGACATTGTCTCTTTATAGGAGAATTACTTTGAAGTATAAAGCACCTTAGGAAAAATGGGGGGGGGGAGCCACTTAGCTATTGTAAATTACTTTAAATATCATTTTATCTAATAAAAGGAAGGAAATACTAGCAGATTAACAAAATTGGAGATAGAAGGACATTAGAGAAACAAACGGTGAAACTAAAAGCTGTTTTGTTTTAAAGAAATGAATCGTCTCCTAGCTAAACTGATAGAGAAGAAAACACCAACAAGCAGGAATGAGACTTGAGATGGTGCTGCAGACAGCACAGGTGACAGGACAGTGGTGGAGGCCGGGGGGTGGCTCCCATGAGAGAGGGCTTTCATGCAGGACCAGGGCTCTGAGGTCAACCCCAGCACTGAGCACCAGAACAAAAGAAGAAAAGAAAAAACATCCATATAAAGTTCAGTTTAGTAGCAATGAGTTGACTGAGTACTCAGACTACCAAGTCATGTAAGAGGTAATAGAAACCGTAAGTAGCTTTATATCGAGTTTAGTCTAGAGCAGTGGCTCTCAACCCTCCTAATGCTGCGGCCCTCATGTTGTGGTGACCCCCAACCATAAAATTATTTTCACTGCTACTTCATTACTGTAATTTACCACTGTTAAGAATCGCAGTATAAATATTTTTGGAGATAGAAGTCTGTCTAAGGGGTCAAGACCCACAGGTTGAGAACCTCTGGTTTAGATACTTTTAAAAATGAAATTTCTATTCCTGGACAGTCACACTTGCAAATCTGCTAAATAGCTTCAAAAAAATTAAACAACAAAATGAACACTAATTCTACACAGTGTTTCCAGAAAGCTAAAGAAGCAGTAGCTTATGTCTCGGCTTATGTCTCAGCTCCAGCATAGCACACACACCATGAAAACTGCTGCTCATCCTCTCTCATGAAGATGGTCCTAAAGACACTCAAAAATGTTGAGAAATCAAATCCAGGAATATATGAAGTGAATCCTGGGCCACAATCAAATATGGGTTACCTTGAGAGTGAAAGACTGGCCAGTGTTTTAAAATCATTCATTGTGATCTGCATATCAGACTGAAAAAAAAATACATGATCATGTCAAGATCATGTCAAGTGATGATTAAGATTTACTGTTCTCCCCAAGGCTGGTCTGCAGATTTAACAGAATTGTAATAAAAATTCAACCAAGATCTCTTTGTAGAGATGAACAAGCTGATTCTGGAGTTTTAAGGAGTCTGGTCATATCACTTTTACACAAAACAAAACCACTAAAAATAAATGGGAGATATTACCTACTCATTTCAAGACTTACTGTGAAAAATGCATCTAATATAGTATGGTTTTGGTAAAAGAATATAATCTCAGTTAGATGGAAGCGAGCAGATTCCACAAGTAGACAGGCACAAGTGCGACCAGTTAAAGGGGCAGGGAGAGTATAAAATAGTTTTGATTTTTAAAATTATTTTTATTATGAAATAATCACCCCTCTTCATAAATTAAGAGACTGATAAGAAAAGGAAAAGACAAATAGTGGGAAACAGCCCTTAAAGAATACACTTCTTAAATATCCCAAATAATGAAGATATTCTGAAGAATTAACAATAAGAAAACAACTCAGTTTTTCAAAATGGTGAAATGTTTAAACAGACGTTAGGCCAGTGTGGATAGCATTAAGCACATGAACAGATATGTCGACACTAGCCATTAGGGAGTGCAATTTAAGACTGCAGCAGAGTCCTATTAATTACCTATATCAGTTGCCAAAAAGATCTAACCTGTTAAGACTTGACCACACTCCTTCTAAACTGAGACCTCCAGTGTTCTTCATCGGCCAGCAGGTGAGCTGTAACACACCAGACAGTAGATAGTCACTATCAAGGGAGCATAACCAGTTGTGAGCGAGCACCTGGGGCAGCATGCATGAATCCAAAGACATTATGCTGAAGAGAGGAACTAACATCAGTAGGTTAAGCCTGGCCTGTATTTCTGTGACATCCTGGGGAAGGTAAAACAATGGGAGACATCAGTGATTGTCAGCATTAGGAGTGAGAACATGGTGTGATTAATGAATGCTTCATTAAGTAAAGCCGCCCTTGTCTACCCTGATTGTTGCCGTGTTTGCATGAGTCTGCATTAAACCTCATAGAAACACACATAGAAGTTACTTTTACTCTGCCATATCTTAGAAAATAAAATACTTTTTGAAAGAATGCCAATGTGGTTCAGAAACCATTCGTAGTCATTTGTATTTGGGATCCTAGAAAATAAGAGTAGTAGTGTAGTGCTCTTGCCCTTTTCATTACATGTAGCTAGGGGCACAGAACCAAATGTTTGACACTGATTGTCCCATCCAGTGTGGCTTTAGGCTACAGGAGCAGAGACCCACATTCTGTCTGTATGAGGAGTAGCTCCTCAGCATAGTGGTGACAAGCCGGCCTCTAGAAAATGTGTTCAGTTCTACGGCCCAAGTGCTGTGAGACCAGTAAGGAGTGAAGAATGTTTGGCGTGTGGAGAGGGAAGTTGGGATTCTTCTTTCAGAATGTTCACTTTGCCGGGCAAAAGCAAGATTGAATACAAGTGCTCAGCAGGGACCCCTCGGGAGGAGCAGAGCCTCGGCACACACCGCCTCTGCTTCGCTCCTGTGCTTGTTTTCTCGAAACGGTGGAGGAAATGCAGTAATTACTTGTTGAGGACTGTTGAGGAGCCCCACTTAGTAAGAGCTAGACAGGGTGCCCTCTGAAGCTTGCTTGCTTGCTTGGTCTTGAGCAGAGTCCTAATTTTGCTTTAACATCAGCAGAGTTCGGAGTCAGTGCTCAGCTAACATTGGGGTTGGGGTAGAGCTGCCTGCCTGTCTTTCCCACTACGGCCCAGCAGTGTACAGCGTGTGACTTTTGTTTTCCCAAACAGGGAACTGTGAAGCAGGCGTACACCAACACTCCGATGGTAGACAACGAGCTGCTTCGGCTGAGTCTTCGGTTATTTAAGAGGAAGACCACTTGTCAAGCCCCTGGACAAGAGAAGACTGAGGACAGTAAATTAGCACCCTCCAGTATCCAGCAGGAGCTGTGCGTGTCCTAGGCAAAAGCCTGGGCGGCCCTTTGGTTCAGTCTTAGCAGTGCAGAATCTTTCTTGAAGTGCTTTGTTTGAAAACATTGCTAATTACAGAGACAGAAGACTTATCAGCCACACCAGAGTAAAGAACTTCGACCTTTAAAGACATGAGTTTTGGTTCCTTTAAGATTTTACATTAATTTTTATACAGTATTCTCAGCCAAAATAATGTGAAAGCATCTAGATTTAGTAGTTTCGTCTGTGTCTTCATTAAAATTGAAGATTTTAGGAAAGCAGATCAGCCCTGCTCTTCTAGCCTGTGAATGCTTCCTGTGAAATAAAAGGTTTGTATTCTGGATCATCGTTCAGAAACTGACCTTAGTCCAAAAGGCCGTGTTGATGGGGCCGCTGCACACGCTCCTGTGCCATGTACAGGGCACCACGGAGCCGCCGCGGGTTTAGGAGTGCGCCTGGAGGCGGTCTCCACCACAGGGGAGCCCGAGGGAGGCTTTTTGTTTTTTCTTTGGAAAATTCTAAAAAAAAAAAAAAATGACTGGGATTTTCTACATGTGTGCATTGCTACATTGTCTATTGGAAGTCTTTGGACTCTTGAGTGGGGTTGAATTGTTCATTATCAGAGACTGTGCTATTTTATTTTTAATAAACGTATGTTCCCTTTCCTTGTTGTAGATTTCCCTTGCTCTTTATTAATCGGACTCCAGACCCCTAGAAACATGTATCATCAGCAGTATAGTTCCACACTTCATGTTTTTCCTCCTCTTGTACTGAGCACTGGACAGCTGCATATGTGTGTGAGGATATTGGAGCGTGTGCTTCACATCCAGCTCTGTAATTCTGGAAGCAGACTTGTCATCTGAGGGTGAAAATGTGACCACTACATCTCAGTGCTGAGCTGCTTCCATCCCCCCTTACTTTGTAAAATTTACTTTTTAAAGGTTAAGATACTTTGTTCTCTGTACATCTTTAGCTTGTGAAGTAGACTCTTCGGAGGACTTGGACTGGACTGCAAGTTCAAGAATTTTGGTGGACAATGATACTGAGGTGATAATAAAAGAAACCTTAGAATTTGCTCATGGCTCTTCTTGGGGTTTTGTTAAAACCACGAGCCTGTGTTGACCGTCTTTGGTTTCATAGTCCCTTCTCTGAAGATTGCACAACACTCGGACGACGTGTCTGTTGATCTTGTTCTAGGAATAACGTGCTTCTCAGTGAGATCACTGTACACTAAGAGATAAAGGAGGAGCTCTTCACTAAGGCTGAAGCCCAAGCAAGAGTCATCCTCGAACAGAAGATTCTTAAATCCTAAATCATCCTTACATCTCCTTCAGGTCCTGGACCCAGGTTACACTTGGAACGAATTAAACAGGGACAGGAGACTGCAAGTCTGTCTACTTGGGCAGATGGGAGGTTTACACAGCAAAGATATTGCCAGAATTAATAAGTACACCAGTGTTGTTCTTTTGAATAATGGTCATCTTGTCCATCTGGCAGAATTATGATTTTCTCAAGAAGAGAACTTGGTGCATTGTGGCAAGCCAGGACTTACCATTCACTGTGACTCCAGGCTGCCTCCTTGGACTACTTGTTAAAAGCATGCTCTTTGGGGAAGGGCTTGATGGCTGATCCATCCTAGCACCCTAAATTTTCCTTGTCTTTAACAGGCTGGCTAGCATACTGCTTATCTTTGGGGTATTTTGGAGGCAGCGCCCCCTTAGTTAAATTCTGCTTTGTGTGACTTAATGTCTCCTGAGCAGATGTATTGGTTAATCCTTCATAACATCAATTCTATTTCTTTCAGTTTCTTCTACATCAATCTCAAGAAACATTTGTTATGTAGGATATCTACCTAGCACAGGAAATAATCTTATTTTCAAGTAGCTTTGAAACTGTTTCTAAGAAAAATCCACCAGAAGAGCAAGGAGAAAGTAAGCAAATTTCCTGATGTCATTTTCTCTTTCTGAATTCTCTAAATAAAAACAACAGAAAGTTATGATTGCAGTGGATGACATTGTTCTCCAGCATCAAGATTTCAAGTTTAAAAAGAGACATCTCACGTCCTAGAACTAATAGCTACCAGGATTGTAGAGCATAACAAAAACTATGGCTTCTTAATTTGTCCACTAATGCTGGGAATATCCTAAATTGCTTATTTATGTTAGGTGTGGTGGTGCATGCCTTTAAACCCATTACTTGGGAGGCAAAGGTGGGTGGGTGGGTTTCTGTAAGGTTAAGGCCAGCCTGGTCTACATAGCAAGTTTCAGTACAGCCAGGGCTACAAAGACCCACCCCCTCTCTCTCCTCCTTCTCCCCTCTCCCTCTCTTACACACATGCGCACGCACATGCGCGCGTGTGCACACACACACACACACATATGGAAACTTTCTGACTGAATATGCCTGTCTTTGGCTGTAGGGAAAGCTTTAGAACAATCCACTTTGCATGAGATAACTGTTTCTATAGCTGTGGAGAACACTATTCAGTCTTGTTTCCAAACTCAGTATTACGCAGATGAAATGCTACCCGAGTCTTGTTGGGTGTTATAAAAGCTCAGGACCTAAAGTCCTGGAAACACCTTCCAGTAAGTATGGGCTGTTGTACGGAAAGCTCTCACAAGCCCGTTCCTTTGCTGTAATGGCACCTCCCAAGCCTAGCTGCTGGTTAGAAAGGACGAGTGTATCTGGAGTGCAAGATAAGTGAGAGCCGCGTGGTCAAATAATCAAATCAGCTGGTCTGTGGGGCGCCTGCCACACCGTGACACTAGCTGGCAGCTTTTTATTTGACAATTTTGCAAGTTTGCCTAAGTAGTAACAGTGAAAGGTTGGCCACTGAGCACAGAAGATCCTCATCCTGGCCACTGAACACAGAAGATCTCCATCCTGGCCACTGAACACAGAAGATCCTCATCCTGGCCACTGTACACAGAAGATCCTCATCCTGTCCACTGTACACAGAAGATCCCCATCCTGGCCACTGAACACAGAAGATCCCCATCCTGGCCACTGAACACAGAAGATCCTCATCCTGTCCACTGTACACAGAAAATCCCCATCCTGGTCACTGAACACAGAAGATCCCCATCCTGGCCACTGAACACAGAAGATCTCCATCCTGGCCACTGAACACAGAAGATCTCCATCCTGGCCACTGAACACAGAAGATCCTCATTCTGGCCACTGTACACAGAAGATCCCCATCCTGTCCACTGTACACAGAAGATCCCCATCCTGGTCACTGAATCACAGCCACATTGGGAATTCTGTGGAACGTTGAGTCTGTAGAACATCCCTTTGTTCCTTGCTGTCCAGTTGAGTGAAGCAGCTGGGATACATTGACCATTGATGATGCTTTAGAACCTCAGGAGGGAGCTGCCAGCAGAACCAGTGCTGCGTTTTTTAAAGGTAGATGGGGTTGGAGAGATGGCTCACCCATTCATAAACAGTGCTTGCTGTTCCTTCCAGCACCCACATATGGGACTCACAACTACCTGGAACTCCAACTTGAGGGTTTTTCCAAAACCTTTTCCCTGTGTGTACTAGTTCCTCCGCTACATCAAATGTCAGTTCTGCAGAATGCCTTTGCTCACCCTATTCTCTCTCCACTCTTTTTTCTACTACAGCCCATCTTTAACAGTACATTATCTGCTGGAACGTGTTTCTATATTTAGACAATAATTCTTATTTTCCAAACTCTTGTTAAAGTATCAACTTCGGTTGGTTTTGTTTGTTTGTGTTTAGAAACAGGGTCTCCTGTGCTATGGGATGGTCTGTATGTCAAATGTGTTGCTGATTGGTCAATGAATAAATCACTGATTGGTCAGTGGCCAGGCAGGAAGTATAGGCGGGACTAACAGAGAGGACAGCTGAGAGAACAGGAAGCTGGGTGAAGGAGACACTGCCAGCTTCCATCAGAACAAGGAAGATGTAAAGTACCGGTAAGCCACAAGCCACGTGGCAAGGTATAGATTAATAGAAATGGATTAATTTAAGCTATAAGAACAGTTAGCAAGAAGCCTGCCACGGCCATACAGTTTGTAACCAATATAAGTCTCTGTGTTTACTTGATCGGGTTTGAGCGGCTTGGGACTGGCGGGTGAGAGAGATTTGCCCTGACTGTGGGCCAGGCAGGAAAACTCTAGCTACACTCCTGTTTCCCAGGCTGACCTCAAACAAGATACCTAGTTGAGGATGGCCCTGCACTCTTGTCTCTGTCTCCTGAGTGTTGACATTGAAGGTATGTGCCACCATATTTGGTTTTGGGTGGTGCTGGGGGAATTGAACCCAGGGCTTCCTGTGTGCTAAACAAGCATTCTACAAAATGAGCAGCATACCCAACTTCAAAATTTCAACCTTCAAAGCATTGATTTGATCGATCAACAAGTCATTAATTGAGCAGCTCCAGTGGGAAATGGCTGAGACCTCCACGAGAGGTGGCTAAGGGCAAGTTTCTCAAGGCAAGCTCAAAAGCACAGCAAAGAAAGGATTTGCTGGTTGGAAGCTGGAAACAGTGCCTTGTTTGGACCACCCCATGGCAGTTCAGCGGCCCAGGTGGCCACTTGTGAATGAGTGAGCGGAAGTCTTGTTTCCTTTTAAATTCTGAGTTCCATTTTGGTTTATGTCGATAAGAACTATTATGTGGAGAAAAAGAAAAATATGATGAGTAGGCTCCTGGAAAGGAGCAGACACATAATTACCCTTCTGAATTAGCCTCATTAAGGAGAAGGGGCTCAAGCCTGTGATCAGCCTTGAGATAGAAAAGGAGTCATGCAACACCATACATTAGCATGACGGGACTTTAAGAACAGAGGATTTCCCTGCAGCCTGGAGGGTCGCTGCATGAAGAGATGGCTTAGTTTAAAGTAATGGAAGACCTGTCAGGGACAGGAGGATGGTTCTCAACCTGCCAGTCATGCTCCCCAAAAACTGTCAGAAAACATGGATATTTACATTATGATTCATAACAGAAGCAAAATTATAGTTATGAAGTCACAATGAAAATGATTTTATGGTTGAGGGTCACCATAACATGAGGAACTGTATTAAAGGGTTGAAGCATTAGGAAAGTTGAGAATCACTGCTCTAAAACAAAGGAAAATACCTGACTTTTATATCCTTCCAGTGGGTAATGGGCATTGTACACCCCGTGATTTGTCTGGGCTAGCTTATGTGACAGAGAATGGAGGAGCCAGATACTGCTGCTCCTGTGCAGTCCTTGTGAAGAAGTTCAACTGTCACAAGTCATTAAGAGCCATTTGAAGCAGTAATCAGCTTTGTCAAAATTGTTGTGGCAGTCAACCAGCTGTCTAGAACCTTCCCATCACAGACAGAGCTTAAATTTAAAGATGTAGCTTAAGATAACAAACCTGTTATCCACACTGGGCAGCTGGTAGAGAGATCATTGCCTAATTAATCTTCATATTGTGCTAATGACAATGCTAAATGGGTTCAACCTTGAATCTGATTGTTCACAGACAATGTGAATTCCCCTACAGGGCAAATGTAGCCAGGTTTCCTCTTAAACTTGCCCATCTGACCAAGGAGCCTTTTAGTCATTTTGAAGTGTAAAAGGTTAATGAATAATGGTGAACTAGTATGATGGCATTTCTAGCGGCCACACTGAGATGTTAATACAGAGCTCTTCTGAAGCTCTTTGGTTTGTCTGGAACAGAATCTTGTATTACAACTTTTAAGTAGATACTGACTTTTATTTCCCATCAGGACTCCTCAGGTGCAGCATAAATTAAAACATTCATCTCTAAGAAGCAGACAGTGGCAAGGGTGGGGAGAGGGGGCAAGGGGGCGTTCAGTTTATTCCAAATTGGCTCTCATGGTCTTTGTGGAGAGACGATAACCCAGACCTCAGTTGGTCAAGTACTTCATGGATACTGGTAACTAATGTCAGTGCAAAGCACTGTTGCCATAGCACTCTATGTCTGAAACAACATGAACATAATTGTCTTTCCACAATGTCAGAAGAGTCATGGCTTCTGGCTGCTGCACTGGCTTGTGTGATGCCCAGGCTCTACTGAGAAAATAAGATACTTGGAGGTTTTATAGGCACAGAGCCAAAGG